TTTTTCTCTTTTCTTTAATTCTGATTTTGGTATAACAATTATATTACCTGTCAGAGTATTTTCAAACTCCTACTTTTATTTACCTTATTTGTCTTTTATTACTCAGTTACTTATTTGATCTATTAAAGATCTGGTGGTCACTACAAAGCGAACCCTTAACGCCAAATTTATAAATATCAGTTTAACCAAGCACACGAACCTTACAATACATCAACATTATTTATATGTATATTAAAATAATAAGAAATTCTACAATATAAACCCAAGATTCTCTCAAGAAAAAAAAAGAAAACAAGCAGTTCACCTTATCTTTTTATTTTATCATATACAATAAACAGGCAACCTTTTTGGTTATAAAATTTCCTGATCTCTTCTTTTTATCTTTTATTTTACTTTATACTTCACAGTTTGATCAACTTTAAAAGATCTGGTGGTCACTTCAAACACCTAAACCTATAAAATCTCAAGAAAACTTTCTATATTAACAACAACCCTTACAACTCAATTAAAAGAATAACAATAGTATAAATAACATTATCCTCTACAGCAACAAACCTACACTTTTAGCATCACATTTACTTTTACTTTTATTCTTACAGTAAATTCTTATTGTACCTCTTATATAACTCTTTATTGATTCATAAAAGTCCCTTGAAGTCACACTATACTTCATTGTAACCCTATTTTATCAAGCAAACCTTATTGCTATCTTTATTTGATCTATACAAGATATTGAACCAAATATCATCAAATACTTTATTACAAGGCTACTTTACTATCAAGTACAAACTTATCAGACAACATAACCTTAAGCCATAACAGAACCCACATTTACATTTGGTGGTCACTACGAGGGCTAAAACATTTAAACTTACAAGAAAATCTATACTCAACATCACAAAAGAATACTTTAATTAACAACAAGAAAACTATATTCAAAAACAATTAAAAATATATAAATAAGAAAGCAGATCATAATGGCTTACTTACCTACCGAACATATCGTGTTGGCAAATTACAGCTCAAGCATTACTCAGAGCTATCGTCCGAAATTAATCGAATTTCATGGATATGAAGGTGAAGACTTCAGACACTTTCAGGAATTATTGGAATCTTACTTTGCATTTGCAAACTTAAATAATGATGCAAGAAAGTTAACAATTCTCAAGTCACAATTACGACGCGCAGCAAAAGTCTACTTTGAAAATGAACTTATCAAAAAGAAACCTGATATAACATATGATGAAGCAATGGAAGAATTAAAGAAGCATTATATTACTCCTGAATTAATTCAGAGTTACGAGCTAGAATTTAACGAAATGTATCAAGGAGAACAAGAACATCCGCGTATATTTTTAGCAAGATTAAGAGAAGCAGCAGATTTGGCTAATATTACAAGCAATGCAGTCATAGAAAGTCGCTTCAGAGCTGGATTGCTTAGAGAAATAAAACAATTCTGTATCTAAAGTAGTTCTAGGAACTTTGATGACTGGATTAACCATGCTGAAGGATGGTGGAACGCAAACAGGCCAAGAAAGATTGCTATGGTAGATAATCCTTTCATTCCAAAGAACATTAATCAAGCATTGATTTATCAAGATGACAATGGTTACAACAGAGAGCATACATACAACAATCATCATGTTGAATTAATTGATGCAGATGAGCGATTTGTACAAATGTTACCGGTATCTAATGGTTATACAAACCAGCCCAATGGTACAATGAACCCACATTTACAATATTGTAGCACTAATAGCCATAACTGATTCTTTTTGGACTGCGAGATTAAAGCTTCTCCATTTAACGTTTGGACCTTAAACCAAATGAACTTTAAATGAAATGAACTTTATATCGACCAACCTTATTTTTAACAATATAAAAAGAGCAATGCTTTTGCTAAAAGCTCAATTCATTCAATAAATCATCTACGATTTGAATCACAACCTTTTCCTCTTTATTTTTATCTTTTATTAACTTCTGAATAATCCAATCAAGTGGATTCAGGAACCCTTTTTTTTTATTATTATTATTATTCTTTTTACTTTGTACAACTCAGTATGATCAACTTTACACAATCTGGTGGTCACACATCGAAACTTTATTATAATTTTACCTTTTGAACACTTTGCTACAAACCTCAGGTCTTGCAAAGACTACGAACACACAAACTTCTATTTTTATTACCTTTTGACGTGTTTGATGAGATAATCATTATAATAACTCGAGTATAATCTTACAGTAGAGCATACATTCTACTTTACATTCCTCTATCGCATCTGATAAGAATAACTTATAATAACAACTATAGTAGCTACTAGTATAACAATATTAATATAAGCATAAATAATGTCAGTGACGGCAATAATATAAATAGTAGTCGTAGATTCTCTACCCAAGTAAACTCTCACACAAACTTAATTTAATAATATTCAGCTCTTCTTAAAAGAGTCTAATTCGCAAGTCATCGACTTAATAGCCTTTTTTCAATAACACTAAAGCCGAATACAACACAAAACACTTCGAGAAATCTACTCTATTGCTGCCAAGTCGTTTAAGAAATACAATGATGTACAACTAAGCCAAGAAGACCAGTATCTAGAAATGACAAAGAACACAAACAAGCAGTTTAGTAAGATTGTAGCTTGCATAGAAGAATATGAAAAAGAAAGCAAACCAGTAACATTAAAGAGACTGAAGAAATATGCAGAAGATGGTGCCAAGTACACAGACAAGAAGTTGAAGACAAATGCAGAAGATATTGTTGTGACACCTATTGAACAAGAAAAGACAAGTACTGATTTGTTCTTTGCTGTTCAGCAAAGAGAAAAATATGAAAGTATGTTTAGATGGGCTACTTGTTATGAAGAAGGACAGAAATAAGGCTTGCTTCAAAAGTATGCTTCAGCACTATCGCTAAAGAACACATATCACAACAGACGTCTGTAATGCTGTAGTATAATCTACTATATACCATGCTAAATAAAACGCTCCTTTCTTATTTGTATCATATTATTATTGTGATACTTTGACTTTGAATCAATATGTGCTTAAAATTAAGAGAAATGAATCTCCTTGTAAGCTTCTTAATAAAACCTGAGGGAAGATTCATCAGTCAAAAATAAATTTCACCGTACGTGGCACTGTAAATGGCGCCGTATATGACTGGTTTATCTGAGCAGGTGAGGCAACAGATAATCAAAAATTAAAAAAATAGTAAACTAACCAGATTGTCAAAACTCGTTCTTCTTTATTACTAATAAAAGCTTGGCTATTTATGTTAAAACCACTCAGTACGGGTTACCATAATAATCTTTGTTACTGTATATGTGCATCCGAAACTTCATGGAACCTACTAAAGACTTGAACTATAGTATATTACACGTGTATCAGTTTGTAGTTGTGTAGACTATAATGATGTACATTTCGGATAGACAATGGTTATGGTACACGGCGCTGTACGATTATATGTACGGTGTGCCATGTACGCTGTAACTATCACTTGGCATTGTCTGTTAAAAGAATCTACTATTGTTCCCAATAAAGTGTCTAATTATATTTTGAAGAATATCAATAGGAATATCTAGACTAGCTTCACTTATTTTCTTTACAAGGACACTCTATTCGTGTGTTGTGTGTTGAAATTAAAAAGAACAGTCTAATTTGATAAAGAAGACTCTAGTCTTTATACCTAAAGTCTTTTTATTCAAGTAAGGAAATATCGAATATACGCATACTATTACTTGTTTGTGAACCCTTGTACCCTACATGTACGTGCACTGATCCTACTACATACCCAATACTACGTATATAGCAATCATAAACAACGATTCATGACAACACTTTATATGATACCTAACTGTTCAGAATCTTGTATGAATTAGCTATTCTCATGTAGGATTAGGGCATCATTAAGCACTATACCGCGTTTCATTATTTTATGACAAATATAATCAGAGATTATATTTGTCCAATGACGTTTCTAACAGCTAACTTCTCACAGCACTTTAAAGAAATTTACCATATAGGAGTGCTAATTCGTACAACAGAAAGCAAAATAACTTTTTTATTTTATTGTTTGTCTTTTAACTATTTGGAAACATGTGATGAAGGGTTGGAACTCTAATCTCTTCACACTTAGATATTTGTAAATGTGTAATCTTCTTCAAATACGACAATAAACAATGCCACGATATACAAAACCAAAGAAGTCGTGACAGCAATTCGTGACAATAGGTATACTGTTTTGTTTCTACCACCATACTCGCTTTTTTTAAATTCCATTAAAGAGTATTGGTCAAAGATTAAGGGAAAAGTACGTAAAACGCCTCTTCTCAAGAACAAAATGATTACTGATGGAATTGAAAAGGCAGGCCAAAAAGTTACACCTGAGGATTGTCAAGGTTGGACCCGTCACTCATGAAGATTATTTACAAAGTGTATGAATATGAAAAAAATATAATTTTATGATTAACAAGTAAAGATTTGGTCGGCCCAAATGGGCCGATATAAACTACATTTTTTTTATTGGACAGGCCCCCTCAGTTTACACGACGCGTGTGGTTACTGCAAAGTTTAAGACCTGTATTTATATTTCGTTGAGCTTTTAAATTATTTTTTATATTATTAAACAGGTCTAAATCTCTCAAACAACATCAGTAAAATTAAAGTTCAAACATGCCTCCTGTCAACAAAAAACTTGTTGTCAACGTAAAAGTATCAGTTAGCAAGCGTTTTATCACTGATAATACAGTGAAAACTATATTACTCCGTGAGCACGACTGGAATGAGCCTAAGTTGAGCTTCCAAGGAAAGACGATTGCACGATCTGAGGAAAATGGTAAGGTGATGTACAATATACTGTTGGATGAAGCAAATGGCCACATCCTCAAGCTTAGTGAAGGCGCTATAAAGTATGTCGGCACTCTTTCAACTCCTGTAGCTTAGGAAATTGTTGTCGACACCAATGTAGTCGAAGCTGAAGACTTGTTGGAAGATGCAGTGGATGAAGATTACAGTACCACCCAACCCTGACAACTTTAGTTGATAAATTATCTTTGGTTAATTTATCAACTAAGGTTAACTTGTCAACAACCGTTGAAATCAAGAAAAGAAAAAGCCAACAAACTAAAAAAAAAAGTATAAAAGTCCAAGACTCTCTCTCAAAAAAAAAAAAGAAGCTCAAGCAATTCACCTTACCTTTTTATTTTACTTTGTCTTTCACAATAAACAGGCAGCCCTTTGTAATAAAAATTCTTGATCTCTTTTCTTTTTCTTACCTTTACCTTTATACTTCTTATATTTGATCTTAAATACAAGATCTGGTGGTCATTTCAAGCACCTATATTGATGAGAAACGGACAAAGCAGGAATGCAAATATAAGAAAATGTGTCACATACATCATTTTGAGCATATTAGGTAATTTTTTATTATTTTTTTGTCCTTCTATGAGGAGTCATAAAGACATCAGCGAGCTGCATGTCGGGGGTACATTGTCTTGGGCTGCTATCTTCTTCACATGTCTCAATCAAAGAATACTTTCTTTTGTTACAATGTAAAGACTGGATGACTTTAGCAGACAATACCAGCAGATGTTTCTTCCATAAATACAAATACTTGAGCGTATTTCGTAAGCTGCCCAGGTCGTAAACATCCGTTGGTATACTGAGGGAGCATACTTTCTGGGTTACGATGACTTCTTTGCACCAGAACATTTGGGTCATGTAACCGTTAGTGCCAACGAAGTCCACAGAAAGAACTTGGTTATCAAAAGCATTCGTGAAACAGTTTAAGCTGTTCAGAATACAAACGTTTACCCTTGCATTCTTACTTTGTTGGTGAATGATGTCCGTGTTGTTTGCATCGTCCTTTTTGAACTCGATGCTACATAATTCAGCACTAGTATCTAGGCGGCTACACTTGATGAGTAGGTCTATTCTTCTGCCAAACTTTGTCATTTCTTCATCAACTTCCTTCAAGCTACTTCGTAAACAGTCTCTTGTAGATGCACAAATACTTTCGCCATCAGACATGATGAGCTCGGCGTCATCCAAAATTATCTCAAGTAAACTCTCAAACTTTCTCAAGTATGTATACTCAGATTTAGGAGAAGCACTCTTCCAAAGCGAAAGTCTTTCACGCTAGATAAAAGAAAAAAAAAAGGTAAAGATAAGTATATCTTCATGAATGTGATTTACCACAACAACAAAACTTACATTGTCTCGACAGCGTTCAAAATTTGGTACTTTGTTGAATTTTTGCTAGGCTCTTTGTATTTCAATTCGTCTATAAGAGAAAGAAGACTGTCTTTATTGTTACTGATTGAGTAAGGCATCAGTCTATCAAGTGCTTCATCAATAAGCGAATTTGTGCCGTCATCAAAGAAGAGATCATCCTTCTTCTGTTTCCTTGTTTGGTTTATTACTTGAATTTCTTCAGTAGGAAGGATATCTTGATATATGTTACTTAGATATGGATTAACATTGTTGTATTCAGCTTTAGTGTTATTGAAAAAAGGCTATTAAGTCGATGACTTGCGAATTAGACTCTTTTAAGAAGAGCTGAATATTATTAAATTAAGTTTGTGTGAGAGTTTACTTGGGTAGAGAATCTACGACTACTATTTATATTATTGCCGTCACTGACATTATTTATGCTTATATTAATATTGTTATACTAGTAGCTACTATAGTTGTTATTATAAGTTATTCTTATCAGATGCGATAGAGGAATGTAAAGTAGAATGTATGCTCTACTGTAAGATTATACTCGAGTTATTATAATGATTATCTCATCAAACACGTCAAACATAGTTGAGAATTTGAGAAAGCGAGAGCTTGGCTAGTTCAATAGATATAGGGTCTATGTTCTCTTGGAGCAGTATTGAATGAACCTTTCTATAGAGAAGACTTTTGATACGGCTCTTACGGTTGTTGCAGTTGCTATCTTTAATAGAAATATTTATGACTTCAACTGTATGCTTTAAGTCTAAAAGTTTTGCTATGGCCATATTTCTAATTTTGCTTGTATAACCTCCGCTATTTTCTTCTTCGTTCTCAAGTTCCACTTCTTCCTCGTCTTCATTGTTATCATTTCCACCGTTCAGTTCTTCTTCTTCATCTTCTTCTGCATCCCATTTATCATCGTCGCCTTCAATATCCACTTCTTCCTCTTCCGACTCGTTGACATCATTTAGTAATGTGGCTGATCTTTGGGCTTGATTGCCTATAGCTGTACTTGATGCAGCTGACACCTGGGCACTGGCTTCTTTCTAAGAGCACCAATGCTAGTTAGAAAAGCAACTCAATATAATATTTGTTGTGTTTCTTTATCAGTGCTTTTACTTGTATAAACATTCTTTTGAAAGTATCCGATGTTTTTGTTGCTCTATTTTGATTTGGTTATTAACTTTAGAATAAGTAAGTTATTCATAAGCAAATAGTTACTTGGGTACAGTTGGAGTTTTGGGTCTTTCAACCACAGCAGTATTGCTGTAGAAACGTATCCTTGTATTCTGTAGATCAAGACTGTGGTTAAAAGGAACATGCACAGATCTTTTGATGATTTCCTGCTCTTTCGTGGTGGAAAATTTGGTAAAAGAAGGTCTGACGGCTTTGCAGAGATGCTCTTTTTTGATAAAGTTGTACTGTGGATTTTTCATTTTGTTTGATATTGTGGTAATAAACAGTAGAATTAGCACGCCCAAAGAATAAATCCAATAGTTAGATCCCCGATGACAGTCCCTTAGACAACATGGCGTTGTTAAGAATGTAGAAAACAGAGCAGTCAGGATCTAATCAGCCACAAGTAAATTCATGAAGCATGTAGATGCAAGTTATGCAATAGACTTTCAAATCATTGACTATAAATACCCTTTGAACGACAGCCTTATATTATCGAATAAAAGAGTCCTAAAAGTATTGGCCTGTCTTTTTGATAATGTAAAATAAGGAGTCCTTATGGCATTTATTGTTGTAGCAGTAGTTGTGATAGACAGAAAGTACAATGGAACTTTTTATGTTTCTTTTACTTGGAAAAATAAAGGTGAAAATATTAAGAATGATACACTCCTTGTTATGTAATGGTTTAGAGGCACAAGGCAAAGGCAAAACAAGTGCTCTTTGAGACTGATCTTTATTCTGAGATAAAGACAGAAGGATCATACAATTAAATAAAGGATCTACTATTTATAATTGCTATCAAATGGCTGGTAGCCACTATTCTAAGCGTGGATTATAATTACTGAGGATGTGATTGACTAACGGTTCCTGGGTTCATAAAGAGGACTTTTAATTCGTTCCTGACGCTGATCTTATTGGCCATTCTTATGTTGCATGAATTTGCTCTATTCATACTGACTACAGTCGTTTATCTCAATGCCAGTCATCAATAAACGATCGCGCAAAAAAACAGTTTAAATTTCTCTGAAAAATTTACTTCATGTACTGCAAACACAAATGAAAAAGGAAGCTTCAGAACCTTTGTAATAAGATGATAGACATTTAAAATTTATTTGATGAAAATATTATTTAATAGCTTGTATGTCCTCCTTTGGCATCAATAGCTGTCTGACGTCTGGAGTGCATAATTGCAACAAGCTTCTCTGTCAGTTAAGTGACAGCATTTTTCACTTATCATGAAGGACACCTTCGAGCTGCCCTACATTGTGTATCTGGCGTCTTCTCTTATAAACACGCTGCTCGAGGGCCCACCACAGATACTCGATTGGATTCAAGTCAGGGCTTTGATTTGGCCAGTTGTTACATAGCAAAAAAAGACTGATTTTTAATCAGGAAAAGTTAAGAAGTTAAGCTTAACATCCTATAAGGAAGTTGATTTTTGAACTAGTGGATTTCCAAACCTACGCGGAAGGTATAATGTATTGAATAACAAAAATGATCTTTATGCAAAAATCATTGTTTTATTACCTCTTAGAGGCTTACTATAATTCATTTCAATATAAAATCAAAAACCTTTTGATCATGAGTTTTGTATCTATTTGAATTTGCTGTAATGATGGTTGTATGCTTAGTGGAAAGTAGGAAAGGACGAAAGAACTGAAAATAAGAAACTAAATGATTTAATTAATTAGAATAAGAGAAGTGACGTTAAGGTATAAAGCTGATTAAGAGCGGATAACGGTATTTACACAGTTAAAGGAGTGTAGGGGATATATAAATAAATAAACTATTGTTGTTGTTGCAGTTTTCTGATTTTTCGACGTCCTCATTTACAAGCACAGTTACATGAACTCAAGGTTTTTGCTCTTCTTCTTTCGTTAATAATAATGGCATTGATTTACATTTATTATATATTAGCTGCTTCATTTCATCTCTTTTTAGTTTATTTAACTCGTGTTTTTGGCCTAGCATAGTTTACAGGTGAAAGCCTTTTTATTCAAAAAATAATCAAGCTGTTCTCTTTCTAAGAAGACACTCGTTCTATTACTTAAAAAAGGATTGCTGTCTTGTTAACTCATTGATGGGTATACTTACATGTTTGCCTACGATCATTCTAATATCTAATTAATTATATCGTAAAGACATTTGGTTAATCATTTATTTGAAGCATGTAAAGTATATTGATGTATCCTTTTTCTCGTTAATCAAACTCTTAAATAGCAATATTAATACTATTATAGTCATATTACTACGTCGCTCAAACTAGGATGTGTTGTTTACGGTTGCATATTATAGAATGTAAGTGACAGAAGTCTGCTAAAGTATGTACACATGTCAGTAAACTAATCAGTAGCTAACCGTTCTTTATTATTCTAGACTACTGTTTTTACTCTTAGTGCCATGACAAAGCAAGTCACTGGAACTTATATTGCTCTTCATTTATCGTTATACCTGCATTTTTTATTCATTCATTACTCTCTTTTATGACTGTAACATATGGATAATAATGTTAAAGATATCTATTCTATCATTATAATATTACGCAGTAATAAAAACCTAAAGCTATATTGAAACCATGTCTATTTTACTCATTATATCCATGTATGAAAGAGCTATGAATAGCAAGATTTGAAATTTAAATACTTTCTAATTCTATTAATGTTTTTGTAACCCGTTTAGCCAATCATACTAAGAGATTGACTTACGTCGCATTATTGACTTTTCTTATTACAGAACTTAACTTTTTTTTGCTGTGACAAAGCCCTTGATTTGTGAGGGCTACTGTGACTTAATTTCTGCTTTTGTCATTTTCGGGGCTAAAGCAAAGGAATGGTCATTAGTTTAAATCATTATATCTTCGCTTGCTGGAGATTTAGTTGATTCACTTTTCTTCCTTGTAAGCAACTGAAACTACGAATGGACACACTTACGACAAACTACCTACATTCTTGAAGAAACTACCGCTGACATTTCGTCGGACTCATTAAGGCAATATGTATAATAAGACATAGTTCTTCTTTTGACCTTATTGTATTCAGTTTAAAGAATAGTTCTCAGTAACTCTTGCCTTACAAAACTTGGCACATTAGCCTCTGATCAGCAACGTAGGAATCTCTTATTTATCGAAGGCTGTGGTGCTCCTTGTTTCGCAAATAAGAGTAGCATTGTTGTCACGCTAATGCACCTGTGACTACCCCCTCTGCGTCCTTAGTGAAAGCATGGTTGGAACTCCTCCAGTTTTCCTTAAGACTGTGTGAGTAGTGTAGTTGCTGATTGGACTTTTCTCTCTTGTCGCAAGGTAACTTTTTTTTTCTTTTACTCTACTTCATTTGACACTAGTAGGATCATACAGAATTCTCCTCGAATGGATCTTTCGCTAGTTCTATATTCGCTTCTGTTCCTGAGTGGACTAGCGGTCATTGCCAAAACTCAAAAAAATATCTACATCTAGGCTCGAAAAGGCCACAGCTTCCTTGTGAAACTCAAGTCTGGCTTAATAACCAACTGCAGTGTTTAAATTTTTTATTAAACATGAACTACTTTTTCAATCCTTCAATGCATAAAAGCTTTCGAAAACCAAATAAATATAAACCGCATGAAGATTTACAAACTTTTCCTGCAAAGAAAATTATGTTCAGTCATAATACTAGCTAACATCAGATCAAATGTTATCAGATATGATATGTCCCTAGAAAGTCATTATGACAAGCTATTATAGATGCTTATACTGTCTTCCCGGAAAATAAATTCGCCTGTGATCGAAAATAAATGCGCCTAATGGTGAGAACAAAAATTCATATTGTATGAAATGTAGATTCAAGATCTAACTGTCCAAGCCTTGCTGCCTTGGTTTGAGCTTCCTTTAGTTGTTTAACGTACAGTGTCATGTCGAGCATGGTTTGATTTCTGAAGCTACTGTTGTTTTCGAAAGTAAATTCTACGTCGCTACGTTGTAAGGCGCCTGTATCAGAATGTAGACGGAGCATTACCGCAATACAGAGTAGCAGGATCATCTTGTCTTGTAGCTGAGTGAGAGACAGTGAGTTATTATCTTGAAAATGGCAAACTAGGTATTATAACAATATATCAAGGCCTCAAGTGGATTTTTCTTGAATAAGTTGCTGATTTGCTAATGGTTCTTTATCCTTGTGTATGGCCTTGAAAACAGATACAATAAATGATCCCATCATGTTCAAGTAATGGCATGAATAATGTTGTTGAGCGACTAGAAACTGTAATACACTCTTGGGTTCGTATTCTCGAGGGTTAACGGGAGGGTGCCGTTGTTGGCACCATTTTGCCCATAGACTCCATCCTCTGTTGTATAGCTGGTATGTATGTATTAGGCAGACTGTTTATAAAATGAACTAAACAACCGTCATGCAGTTGCACTGCGTTGCCTCTTATGATACAGTTTTACGAAATTTGACTTTTTAATGCATATTTATTTTATTAATTAAATTACATTAAATGCCTTATTCAGTTGTAGCTTTGAAGCGATAGACTTTTTCATCACCCTTGAATGGGACACCTAATTCAAGAAGCTTGACAAATGCAGCAGTGAAATCTTCAAAGAACTTTTGTTCATCCTTAGCATACAAATCGAAATACTTTTTGAATTCCTTGTCATTATACATGGATATTTCAGCAGGTAACATCATCACATCTGTATTGTTTTCATCGACCCATTGCCATCCACCATGAGGTAAAGTCTTTTTGATCCATTTGCGACCAGAAATAGCCTTAAAGTATTCATTGGAGAAAATGGTTGGGGCTTCTTGCCATGGTCCATCAAATCCACTGCGCTCAGGATGGCAACGACCTAAAGCATGTGCACCAGTTAAAGCAACAATTTCTTGATCATTAAAACCCTGAATACATCAAGGTTAGAAACCGGGTAAAGGTCATGGATTGTGTAACTTCATTTACCATTCTGTAAAAGATATCACGGATATGGTCTTCTTTCTTTGTAGCGTCAGGGAGACGACCATCAGGTGTGCAGCTTTTTGCTTCGAAAGCATCTTGACGACCAGGTCTCCAAGGAATAGTAGGACCACCCTTTTAAGTAATCAGTATACACATACCTTCTTTTTTATATTGTTTCCTTACCAATTCTTGAATAGCGCATACACCTGCTAATGTCCAAAGATCACCATAGCTGATCTCTGGGTGTTTTTGGTGAATCTTTTCTAGTAAATCTCTGGCGATAGCTAAGCCATTGTTAGCAGCATGAGCAGATTCAGGCTCAAATCCTTTTCATGAAATATTAATAATTTTAAAAAAAATATTATTTTATAATAATAACTCACTCATTGTAGCACCGTTACTTCCACCAGTCTTGGTTTCTTTATCATAAGTACCAGAAGCGTGCCAAGCAAGGCGGACAAGAACAGGACCATATGAACCATCGTCGTAACTATTACTGAATAAGCACTTTTTTTTTTTTTTTCCCATAGATTTTTGTACTCACTCTGGGTTCTCGTCCAGCATTTCAGCAATCTCTTTGTAAATCTTTTCGTAATCAATATCTTTCTTTGTAGTTGTTACTGGGATAGTCTTTGTTTTGATTGCTTGGGCTGATGTATAGTAATAACCACCAATACCACCAAGTGTAGCTAAAGCTTTGGGAGGTTGTCAGTAACACATTATTTACATGCGATAAGAGGATACTTACTTAAAAACGCGAGTCTACCGGAGCTGCTCTTTTTTGGTGTTGCAGATGATGTGTATCCTCGTTGGTGCATTAACGATGCACGTACAGCTCCAACGCGGCTTACATTTGCAGTCAAGACAGAGGTAGATGCAGCTATAGGGCGTGAGGCTGTGCGTGATGAGATGTTTTTCAAGAGAGAGGAGGAGATGGAATTCATTGTAAGAAAAAGGCTGAGAGAAAAGTTCAAATCAATGTGTGAAATGGCTCTTTATAAATACCCGCTTTTGTGCCTGAATTTTAAAAAAAAAACTTTGTAATTTATCATCCAATGAGATTATGCTTACTAACTTATTCAGTAAGAGCTCGTTACTGCTCTGATTGGCTGTAATAGTAAATGGACTACTTTGATTTGTCAGACAGGATTTATAATTCATTTGAAATGGTGATAAGCAAAGATAAGTTAAGTAGTAGTTAATGTACTTCTTATACAAGATCTGAATTGTATGGTTATTATAATGTATTCATTACAAGTTTGTTTATACAACATTAAACATATTTAACTATGAATGAAAAGAGCTATAAAATATATATACAATATATAAAAGCATATTCTCATATCAATCACAATAGCTTCGATAGGATACATAAGAGTGCATTATACTGATTATCATAAGTGTTAAATTGTCATTTTCAATGTAAGCTCTACATTGTCATCACTCTCATATACTAATATACAATGATTATTGTATCTTTGTCATAGTGAGCCAAGTTGATGATGATATTCTAGGTTTTTTAAAGTTCATACGAAAAGAACGATGAGGAAAAGCTACAGAGCTGCTATCTGTAAGTGAAATATATATATCAAACCAAACCTACAAGCACTAGTGATCGAATAAAGGATAACTATGCCTTCAGATAGTCAACTGATCAACATCCTAAAAAAATTACATGATGCTCATTCAACACTTTAAACAAATGTCAATTATGTATTACGTTTAGTTCATAAATTCTGCGTGTGGGTGTGTATTTCTTTTTATAGTAAAAAGTGATCAATGCTTCTTCCTTTTCAAAAAATATAAAAAGGCATATAGATAAATCGACTATATCAAAACAGGATGACACTAGAAGCCCTTCATAAGCTTACACCAGCTCATATAAGTTTATGTGGATGGAGCATGACAGATAAGAGAGCAGAATTACTAGGTGCTAAGGTGATCAACGTCCGAGAAAAGATCGTTGGAGATCATGTTGTAGCCAATGAGAAACTAAAACAAGGTGTTACGCTATTGGAAGAAGAACCATTTATAAGGCAACTAGAAGAGTCCTATAAGCCTACACATTGCACCTATTGCTTCACATTGCTAAAGTCAAACATGATGAAATGTCCGAACAAGCTCTGCAAATGGAGCCATAATTACTGTAGTTTGACCTGTCAACGCCAACATTGGTGGGCAGAACACAAATGGCTTTGCGCTTTTCCAGAGTTAAAGAACACACACAGAGATGTCTTGTTTGCTTTTCAAGGATATATCGCTAGTAGATCTAGAGGCAAAGGTACTCAGAAGTGAGCTTTTTTTTTTTAATACTAGATAAGCTGACAACAATGAAATAGGCACTCTGCCAGGACTAGTTTCCAATATAGAATTTCATACATCAAAGCAAGTAGAAGAGTACCGAAGCAGAATTAAAAATGGACTATTGTCAAAAATATTCAATTTGACAGACAACGTTGTAGAATCCATGGTGACAATCATGGGACAGATAAGATGTAACACCTTTGCTGTCACACAGACTAAGACAGAACAAGCATATGGTAGTGTAGTAGAAGGAAGCTATCACATAGCAGTTGGAAGAGCCATTTACCTTTATGCTAGTAAATTCAATCATTCCTGTGATCCTAATGCTTTGGTCTTGTTTGGCACAAACGGATGCGCGACTCATCTAAAGGTCAATCTTGTTCGTCAAGCTGAAAAAGGAGAGGAATTGAATATTAGTTATGGTCCTTTAGCGACAAAAATGGTTACAGAATTGCGAAGAAAAAAACTCTATAATGATTACTTTTTCGAGTGTAATTGTAATGCTTGTCAAAAATGGTAAATATAATTTAATGTGGTATTACTGATAATCTGATCTCTCTTCATAATACAGTGATGATGCAACAAACATGTACCAATGTATTCAATGTAGAGGTCAAAAGCTTTACTATAGACAGGATAAATGTCCCTCATGTAATTTTATACCTAATTGGCATGAGATTTCACTTGTAAGGTCACTATTTATGTAAATCAGTAAAAGGTCGTTTATGATGTGTATATATAACAGGATGAAGAGAAAGCAATAAAACTAGTCAAAGAAGGGCTTGTCGAGATGGATATTGAGAAATTCAAGCAGGCAATGAGAATTACCTTGAAATACTTTGATAAAGACTCGATACAGATGAGCAAATTGTGGGATAATATGGGCCGAATGTATGTGACTATGGGTCGCCTGTCTGAGGCTTCTAAATGTATCAAGGCATCACTTACAAATGTACAAAAGATTTTTGGAAAGATCAGTGTTGAATCGGCTGCAGAAATGTTAAAGCTGGCAACCATTTACTGGAACAGGCATGTGTAAACTTTGTTAGACACAACTTTGACTGATTAAAAAAAAACTTAGCCAGCAACTGAATGAAGCTTATAAATTAGCTGTAGATACTATAGCAGTATATGAAGCTTTAGGTTTAGATAAAGACGAGTCAAGAAAAGAAGAATGTGAGGAATTACAGAATATAGCAGAATTTTCTTTTATTACAATGGGAATGAAAAAATAAAAATATGTTAAATATACAAAAATGTTTAAAGGTCATCTTCATCAGAGAAAACTTCTTCACCACGCTTACGACGTTCCATACGCTCCTTCTTCTTCTTACGGAGTTCCTTGGAGGTCAGCTTCTTCTTCTTTTCGACGGCCTTGATGGTGTTGCCTTGAGCGTCGACCATGTCTTCTGCTTCTTGTTCCTTGATGACAGTAGTACCGTTACCAGAGACCCAGTTGTGACCAGAAGGAGTCAAGCGACCGTTGTCAACCTTCCAGACTTCAGTACACAAAGCTTCAGAGAATTCACGGTTGTGAGTAACGATGACAACACCACCACCATATTCCTTGATAGCAGTAGCCAAAGCACCGAGAGATTCACGATCCAAATAATTGGTAGGTTCGTCAAGAACAAGCATGTGAGGTCTGTTCCACATAGCAGCACCAATGACCAACTTGACCTTTTGACCACCAGAGAGACCACGGATACGAGAGTGAGTAGCGAATTCGGGTTCAAGGCCAACTTCAGCCAAGTGCTTTTCGATTTCCTTGGCAGTCAAGGGACGATTGAGACCCATCTTGGCAGCTTCAGCAGCATCGACTTCAGCAATCTTCTTACCGAAACCCATTTCTTCAAGCTTGGAACGAGAGATCCAGGTATTGTCAACAGAGGAGCGACCGACCCAAGAGACTTCGTATTCGTAGGACTGCTTGAGCTTACGACGACCCACGATGGCTTCAACAACACGCTTTTCACCTTCGATCACAAAGACTTGTTCCATAGCCTTTTGGTTTTCTTCGGCGTTGTTACGTTCGTTCTTTTCGAGTTCTTCACGGTCTTCACCAGTGTGGTAACGCCATTGGATGTATTCGTTGGGGGTTTTGTCCAAGTGACGTTCGATGTGATGGAAAGCATGTTGAGCGACATAGGCAATACGCAAGTTAGGATGTCTCCAGACAGTACCAACCTCGGACTCAATTTCACCAGTCAACAACTTGATCAAGGTAGACTTACCAGCACCGTTGGGACCAATGACGGCAACACGGGAGGCAAGAGAACACTGCATAGAGATGTCAATCAGTTGCTTGCGGTCAGAACCAGGATACTGGAAGTCGACATTCTTCATTTTCAAGATTGCACGTTCCTTAGTCTTGATACCTTCCAAGAAACCAGGCTCAGGGAAAGAGAATTTGATTTGAGTAGCTTCCAAGGAATAGTAAGAGGCAGCACGAGGAACCTTCTTGACGAATTCGGACAAGTTACCCTTATAACGCTTGAGCTTATAATTGGGTTCGTAGTGAATGATGTCCGAACAGACATGATCCAAGAAACCAGAGTCGTGGGAGACAATGATGGAGGTAACAGTCTTCAAACCAAGGAGGTAGTTCTCCAACCAGGCAACGTTGACAACATCCAAGTGATTGGTAGGTTCGTCCAACAAGAGGATATCAGCGTTCATCAACATAGCACGGGCAAGAGCAAGCTTCATCTTCCAACCACCAGAGAGTTCACCAATAGCCATCTTGGTAACCATTTGTTCAGAGAAGCCATATTCCAAGAGGATCTTGCGAACTTCTTCAGGATCCTTGGTCTCAACACCTTCGGAAGCAAGGATAAAATCAACCAAAGGAGTATCGGCTTCAGAGCCATCGATGTCGTGTTCGACGTAGACAGTCTTGAGTTCAGAGCGAGGAGGGAAGCCTTCGACCTGTTCGTTGGCAATGGCACGCATGAGTGTAGACTTACCACAGCCATTAGCACCACAGAGACCATAACGACGACCACGCTTGAGACGAAGAGAGGTACGGTTAAGCAAGATCTTGGCACCATAAGCAAGAGAGAATTCACAGTTACAGAGATCTTCACCTTCATCGTCCTCTTCTTCGGGGTCCTTGGGAGTAACTGCATCCTCACAATTGTCCAAGGCAGAAACAGCAAGGCCTTCAGCATCAGAGCTAGAGAGGAAGGAGTTTGCATAGGGGGCAAGGGATTTGATCCAGACATCTTTGAAGAAATTCTTGGAGACACAGAGTGTGAGAGCGACATCGTTCAAGAAGGAAACGGTTGTATCAAAGAAGGAATCCAAATTTTCAGGCAAAAGTCCCTTGATAGCAGATTCAACCTTGACCTTCTTTTGTTCCTTGGTAAAGACTTCGACACCAGGATTAGCCACACGTTGAAGGGTGGCAAGAGCCTTTTGAACGACACCACGGCACTCAGGATCAGCAACGACGTCTTGCACCTTTTCGAGAGCAGGTAAGAGGACGGGCAAGAAAGGAGCAGCGACATCAGGATCATCCACAAGCTTGGACATGTTATCAATGATCAAGGCAGACTTACGCTTGATAGGAGTAGCACGTTCGTTTAGACCACGGGACAAGAGAGGAACCATGATAGAGAGCGTGGCAGAATCAACTTCTTGAACAAAAGTGGTAGCACCAAGCAAGTGAATCGTTTCTGGAACATTTTCGGGGTGGTTGATACAAGCAATAACGGCTGGAATGAAGCGTTCAATATCCTTATTCTCGATCAAACCACAGATGACAGACATGGTTTCAGTAGCCTTCTTCTTGACTTCGGATTTGGTATCCCACATGCAGTCAGAGACAACAGGTACGACATCAGGAATACCAACAAAGAACTCCTTGGGATGAGTCTTGGCAAGGAGTTGCAAAAGTTCAAGAGAAAGCATCTTGGTTTGCCACTTGCAGGAGTTGGCAAGACCCTCGAGAATGAAGGGAATCATGAGAGTACAGGCATTGGGGTTGATCTTTTCGACCAAATTTCTTGCTGCGGCTGCGGCGGCTTCCTTGACAGATGCTTGTTTATCAGCTTGAAGCTCTAAAAGGGTAGAAACAAAACGAATGAGGAAGGGATGAGTTTGACCTTCCAAGTTTTCGTTGATGAGAGCCACAAGACCAGCGATAGCAGAAGCACGAGCATTGACGTTCTTCTTGGAAACAATATCCTTATCAAAAGCAGCAAGAACAGGCTTAAGAGAAAGAATACCGTTGGACTTGACAGCTGCAGCAAGATCAGCTGCAATCGCTTCACGGTCGGAATCAGTAGCGTTTGAAAGGCTACTGACGATTTCAGTAACCTTCTTGGACTCGCTTTCAGAAGGAACCTTGCAAGCAATGGTCTTCTTGGCTTGAATATCGCTCTTGATGTTGTTGTTGTTGTTTGCAGTAGTTGCAGGCATTATAACAAAAAGAGAGTGGATGAGCGAATAAAAATAAAGAGTCCTTGAAGGAAAAAAGGGAACTAAAAGTTAAAAAAATAAACAAAAAGTGAAAAGGTCTGTCCTTTTTATACTTTGATGCATAAAAAAATAGCCGTCATGTCTCTTTTTGTCTTTTTCATTGTTCTTTAACCAACGGTTTCACAACGGACTTTGAACTCGGCGATAACAAATGATGATTGAAGCTTGCTTGTCACATTTGGAAATCTTGTTTTTCGCAGTAAGGGGATTGATCAAGTACCAATGTTTTTTTTTTTCAAAAAGTAGATCTGTCATGATTTAGGAACTTTTCCAGTAATTCCAAGTTGCATATATCTCTCTTTCTGTAAAGAGAAGTTTACTACTGGTAAAGCAAAGAAAAGATTCTGAAAAGAGGGAACATTGTGATAATTATTTATAAATAGTCATATCAACACACATTTTATTATCTATTTTTCTAACTTGTGCCATTGTTTATAATTAATGAGCAATCATATTGGTTTGATACTAGCTTTATTCTGATTTGATGATAATTAGATATGTATAGATTATATCAAATGAATTGCTGCATATAGGATGAGTAGAGACAAGCTGATTCGATTCATGCAAACAATATTTTATTGGTTAACAAATTCCAAAAATGAAAAGATCTGTCGCACGAAACAAAAAAGTTATGATTCATGCTTTGGTTGCTGTTGTCCGTTTAATGTGGTGCTCAAGTCTTTTTCTGTTGGAAACAATTAGTATAAGGAATGTCGTCTGTGTCGATATTTACCTAATCCCCAAACATGAGTTTTCAACTCAAGATGCTCCATATTGAGTGTATCCTAGAGAAAAGAGAGAATAAGAATAAGAAGGGATGGAAGAGAGGACAGTGTTGATTTCATACATATAATTTACGTAAATCTACTTTCATATCAGTCAATTCTTGTTTAGTAGCTGCCATTGCCTTTAATTTTGCAACATCTCTATCAACTGTCTCAATTCGACGTGCGTAGTCTTTGACCTACAAACATGGACTTATTAAATCCAACGAACAAATGAATCTCTCTATTACCTTATCCGTAGATGCTTGAAGTTCGTTGACTGACATTAAAAGAGAGGCAGACGCACTATTGTATTCATCTAGTAAATAATAATAGCCAGCAGAGCCTGCAGCTGTTACTCCTAAAAGGAATCCAATGATACTAAACACCAAGTCAATATGTATCATTCATCAATTTCCTTTTATCTCTTACCCTCCACGGAAGGCACCGACCTTAGGAGCACTGCTGGTTGCATCAGTTGAATAAAAGCGTGTGTTGGAATGGTTGGATGCAGTACGAGTTGTGAAGCGGAGAAGGGAGATCATCTAATGATTGTTCAATGTCAATTCATAACCCATACTTCATTTCTTTACTTTTTTATTTATTCTAGCTATAACTATTTTCTCTCTTTAAAACAGAAAAAAAGAGAACCCAGGGGGTGGAAGAGGCTGAGGATTTACTTTCCGCACTGAACTAACTTTTTAGCAAAGACATGTCAGCCAAAAAATGTTTGAATAATAATCTTACATTTAGACTATATAGTTTATATGAATGTGGGCATATTATGATAATACACAGAATGGAGGATATTACAATGGTTATTAAGATTCACTTGCTTATTTCTTTATTCTCAAGTGTGATTCTTATTGGGTCATTGGATCACACAAAAGGACACTGATATCAAACATCCTATTATATGCACCTTATTAAGCATTAACCTCACACACACATATACATACATTCCTTAGTTTAAGGTCAATATCATGTAAATGATTTCTAGATGACTGCCAATGAATGACTCTTTTTAACTCCTGTGACCATGTTTACTAAACTGTACAATCACGAACAAAAGACATTTATTTAAACACAAACAGAGATTGATAACAATCCATTAGCAGTTAAATATACTTATCCTAAAGAGAGAAAGTGAGAGAGAGAGAGATACACTGTGTATATTTTTAATATTCTCTCTTTTTGTTATATTAAAAAAGGGAAAAAAGTACGTGACTAAGAAATTCAGTTACGCGTGATGATAAAAAAAGTTTAATTTTTGTCTTTATTTTTTTTTCTTTCGCTTCCGAATCTAGTCTTGGGCAGATATGAAAGTGCACTCTGCAAAGGTAGATCATCCTTCACTTTATGAATTGCATTGTTATCTTATTGCGTTTTATAATAGATTCTTACCCAAAAAGATCTTGAAAAAGAATTTATAGCCATTTCTAAATTATTCGTTGGAAAAGAGACAGAACATAATTGGGAGAAGAGAGATGCTGCTATCAGACAGTTACGTGAAGCACTTCATTCAACTCATTTTGAAGAATGGAAAAGTACCTTTATACGTGGCATTCACGACGTAGTTAGCGACGTAATCAAGACGGTAAATAAACAAATACACACATACACAAAAACATACAGAACTCACCTCTCTTTTTTTAAAGATACATAGTCTACGAAGTTCAGTAGCATTGGAAGGATTGGCTTTAATATCAGATATCAGTTTACTCATTGGAGAGTGCTTAGATTTGTATACGATTGAGACCATTTTAATCAACTTGTTAAAATGCTGCAGCACAACAAAGAAGATCATTGTATCAAAATCCAATGAAGTAACAAGCCAGTTTCTATCAAGAACAAACTATCATTTTAAAGTAGTATCCATTCTTTGTAAAAATATAAGCGACAAAAATACCCAAGTACGACAATCATCAGCTCTATTCTTAAAGACAGTACTTCAAACACATGGCCAAAAAGAACAGACAAAGCTGGCTATTGGAAAAGCAGAAAGTACTGCACTTATCCATCAATCTTTAAACAAGGGATTAAGTGATGCGTCACCATCTGTACGAGAAGCTTGCAGACAAGCCTATTGGACATATCACGAATATTGGCCAAATGAAGCTAAAAAGTAAACTTAAAACTTTAACAGGTTTCGTTTTACTAACCTCACTTTAGATTATGCATCACCATAGATACTGTTGCCTTGCGCCAATTAGAAAAATCCAACAAGGGCAAAAAAATATCTCCAATACCACTATTTAACAGATCCAATTCCTCATCTTCTATATCAACCACTTCTTCATTATCGTCCAAACCTCCCACATTAAAAAGAGCGTCCTCCAACTCAGAAGTAGATGGTAAAAAGCATCATTCGATACCCGCTGTTTCAATTGAAGTCAAGAAAAACTTGTCAATTCAAAAACTAACAAGGTTATCACATATATCCAATGTATCTGCACCTACTGCACCTGTTGCATACAAGCTAAATAAACAGCTATCAACTACCCATGCTCGATCACAGCGACAGACTAAGTCTGATTTTCACCATCGATCCGCGCTTGAATCTGCTTCGATTCTCAATATGCTCAAAAGCAACAACACCAATCAAAAATGCAACGGTATTCGTAAATTGTCTGAAAAGCTTCACAACACCGTCTACAACCCATCTGGCAGCATCAGTCTTCCACCTGATGTTCCTTCTAAACTTAACCTTTTACCCATCTTGATGGATTATATTTCAAGAAAGGATCTCGAGTTGGAAGTATACCAAACTCTCATGAGCTGGGAAAGTCTGGCCGGCATATTTGTTTATGTCATGTCTTTGAATTACTATGCTCCTACTCTGATCATAGCAGACCAACAATGCAAAAGCTCGCAAAGCAAAAGAAGTGATATGACAGCAGTTTTCAGCAAAGGATTAGCGCGTATGAAGCTGTTTTTAAAGAGAAATGACCCAGGACTTGTTACGAAGCTATTGAACCTGCTAAAGTCTACAGAAAACGTACAAAAGTCTAAACAGCTAGATTCAAGTGTCAAACGCGACATTCTATTGTTCCCTGTCAATAAAGAACACCTACAGGTCGGTCTATTGGAATGGATAGATCAGCTTGCATGTGATCACCTTGGCTTGACTCAGGATGAAGACATGGAAACATTAATGGAGGGCTCACGTTGGTTGAACGCATCATTGCAGAAAGCAACTGCTGAGCAGTGGTTTGATGTAGATGAGAATGTGAAGCAACTTACTGATTACGTTGTGCATATGACCACCGCAGACTCCACAAAGCATCAGGAGCTGCTACAACCTGCTCTACAGCAACTTGTAGAACACTTGAAAATGATCAATGTCACAGTTTTTGATGATGTTGTACAATCTGCCAACAAGGACCCCAAGGTTGCAGAAAACAGTTTATTACAGAATGTGCTAAGGTCCATCATGGAAGAACAGAGTACGGATTCTGTAGCATTGGAAGATCTTCCTGATGAAATGATGATACAGGATATAGATTTTAGTGTGATGGATAAACTAAATGAGCTGGATGAGTACAATGCTAGCACAGGTATGACTCAGGAATTGTCAAACATTAGGATCAATCCCCAAGTACACTATATAAATAATACAAGTCATCAAAATAACACATCATTACAAATCCAAGACATAGAAACAATCGAAAAGAAAAGCTCTACAAGTACGATGCCTATTGTTCATCCACCTGATTCACCAAAGCCCTCTATGGTATTACAACAAGAAAAGATTGAAACACCTGCAAGCAGCCCAGAGATAATGCCTCAAAAGATAAGCATTGAGACAAGAACGACAAGAGTAAAGAATAGCCGGCCAGCGCCTAGTCCAAGTGTATCGGTTGATGACAGACAGTGTGTTAAAAAGCAAAAGCATATCCATGAACAGAGTACAGAAACAACGACAGCGCCAACAGAAGCTGATCAGAATCCAACTAGAGAAAAGCTCAGCATAGATGCTAGTATAAAACTTGATATGCTTCAAAGTGGAATTGCCAGAATAAGGTCTAATCAGGTGGACGAAGCACTGCTACTTCGATTACAACGCTTATCAAACGACACGCCTATTCAAGATATATACAATATTGAAGATGGCTGCAAGTTCTGGTTGAATGACTATGCCGAGCCATTTAGGTCTCTTTTGAGTGGGGTGACAAAGTACCTTGCTGATGAAGAGACACAAGATCCGATATTGAGAATAGAAGCTGTGCAGCTTATCAAAAAGATGATTATTTGCCAACGAGCGTTATTTTTACGATTTGCAAAGGTGATAACGAAGGGATATGCACATCAAATATATTATGTCCTTAAAACCCTATTGAAGGAAACCACAGATATCTACAGCAATGTAAGTTTTATTTTTTTTTATAAAAAAAAGGGGGATTGTATAATAACTCTATTGTTAGATATCCGTTGTGGCAGAAGACGCTATTAGCCAGCTATTATCTATTTATTCTCCTGAAGTATCCTTAAAGTTACTTCAGGATGTCGCAAATCATTTTACAGAAGCAACCCATATACCCAATACTCAAACCAATCATCAGCCACTTGGTGTATTATTTTCATATGTCAGTAAGGTTGCACCTGATGCGTCAAACATAACACTAGATCAATTCCTTAAAAAAGGTGTTACTGATTTGTTAGTAAAGCAGGTACTTATTTAACTGTCAAATCTATAACTCATACTCATGTCTTTTATTTTAGAGCAATTGAAAATAATAATAAACTATTTGTGCCTTTCTGTTTCTTTTTCGTGTTTTTAGATGTAGCACAAAGCCCTTCAAAACACGTCGGCAAGCTAATTTTCAAAGGGGGATTAATTTAAATATTTTTTTTTTTTGAGCACGCTTTTTTCTTTTTTCTTTTTTGCAAGATGGAGGAAAAAGCAAAAAAGTACAAAGTCGCAATTGTAACAGGTGCAAACTCTGGAATTGGCTTTAGCATTTGTCAGCGATTACTAGAAACTGAAGACGACAACTTGACTCTCATTATGGCATGTCGTAACTTTAAACGAGCAACTGTTGCAAAAGAAAAGCTCTTGAGTCAGTTCCCGTTTGCACATATCTCAATTGAATTGGTTGATGTGTCAAAGATGATGAGCGTATTTGCGTTCTGTAGATCGATAAAAGAAAAGTGAGTTCATTTTTATGTAATGATTGTTCGGTTGACACTCCCATAATTAGGTATGAGTATGTCAATTATCTGTTTTGTAATGCAGGAATATTAAGTGCTCTCGGCATCAATTGGAAAAAGACCCTTATCATGTTGTTCACGCAACCAGTAGAGCTTCTTGAACGATCGGATGCTACTATCCAAAATGTCGGGGAAGTGACTGAAGAGGGTGTTGGATATGTCTTTGCTGCTAATGTGATGGGTCATTACATCATGGTAAAGATGAAGCAACGCTTATAGAGAGGGGCTTATTAAAAAAACAGAGTAAATTTATCAATAGATGCGAGAATTAGAAGGCTTATTTGAGAGATCAGGCGATGGACGAGTGATTTGGACAAGCTCGATTACTGCTGATAGTACTTGCTTTGATATTAAAGATTATCAAGGAGTAAAAAGGTAAACAAAAAGAAGAAGACATGAAGCGTAGTTTGTATATAAATCATTCTATAATAGCTTAATGCCCTACGAGTCTTCAAAATGGGCATGTGATCTAGTTGCAATCGCTACACACGAACGGTATAAGGCAGAGAATCGTAAGATTTCTTCTTTTACTACTTCACCAGGTGTAGTTGCCAGCCAAATTGGTGACATGCCTTTATGGATCACACTGGTTCGTATCATTCTTCACTATATCGTAAGTATGAAAATAGAGAGAGAGAAGAGACATTGTGATTAAGTTTATGTATTAGATGCGTTGGATTGGGATTCAATCACAAAACATTACCGCGTATAACGGCGCCATTGCGGACGTATATGCAGCATCTGAGCCACTTTCAAAGATGGATCATCTAAAACGATATTCTTCTTTAACTGATCGATGGGGACACCCATTTGTTCGCGGGATTCCTGTTCATGATTACGATCCTGATCAAGCCGAGAAATTGGTTGAAAAATGTGAATTGATGTATCAAGCTGCAAAGAAAGCTAATGATGCTTAAAAAGGAAGAGAGAAAGAAAGAGAAAGAGAATTGCATTATAGCATAGATTACTGCATATATGATTTACAACTAATTAAAATACAACTAATATATTTGTATCGAATAGTAATTTAAACATTCTACCTTGTCTTTTAATATTATCCAGGAATAACATAATGCATGAGGCATTCCAAGTTACCCTTTTTTCATACTTTAAGCATTTCAAGTCTTGATCTTTGTTTTCTTTTTACTTTCATCCCTTTGTTATGCCTTTGCTAGACGCAATCAAAAAGCCAAAGCAAGTTGCGCCAGCTTCTGATAATCGTTTTACATCTTCATACATGTCAGCATGGAACACATACAATGAACATGATAAACAAAACTCTTTTGTACATGTACCCTTGTCACCGCCTGTCAATCGCTATTCTCGTTATTATAGATATAAAAATCATTTAAAAGGTTAAAATGATTTAGTGAAGGCCCTCTTTTTTCTTTTTTGCTTATTATAAATGTCAAATAGATACAGACATTGAACCCTATGAAAGTGACAAGGCTAGTTATAGATCTACACGCATCAGAGAAAAGATGAGTCAGGGAAATGACAAGGAAGAACTATGCACACGGCTACTTTGCTGCTGCTGTTTCCCGTGCCTACCCATCTGGGGAAGAACGCTTTGTTGTTTTATTTTCTTGGGTATCTGTGTGCTGCTGGGGTTCATGTTGGTGTTTATGCTGGCATTTAAGGCGCCTCAGATGAAACTTTTAGGAGACTTGCAAGATATACAGCAGCAGAATGGAACATACAACTTTAGATATTATATACAAAACGATAATTTCTTGAGCTTTGATTTACAGAATATAAGAATTACAGTAAGAGTTATTACTATGGTGCTTTACATACACTAACATAGCTTAGGCATACTATTCGGATGCTTTAAATACAATCGGTGTTGGCGAATTATCTCATTTGAATCTACGTGCACAATCAGCTATGAACATTTCTGTTTCTATGAACATGATGACTCCCAGAGTAAAAGAAATCAGCAAGAACTCTTCCAATAGAACCGTGCCTCATGCTTTAGCTGTGGCATGCAGCAGTATTTCAGAATACTCAGATGTGTATCCACAAAAAGACCTGGAGTTATCCTTTGATATGATGCCAACAGTCAAATTATTCAGCTATCCGATAGTCACGGTTGTATTTCATGGACAAAAGACAACCATATCTTGTGGAGAGGTAGGTCAATATTTGTTTCTTTTATTAAAGATAACCAATTATTTCATGTAGGGGTTAAAGGGGATGTCATCAAAAGAAAAGGTCCCTTAATTTACATAGTAAAAAAAGAAGAATCATAGTCATGCGAAAGTACACCTTTATATATATATCCCTTTTTTGTTTTCAGATGCTCATGCAATAAAAAGGCTCATTATTTGCTTATTTACTTTTGGCTGATGCAGGTACGTCTCTTTTGCCCAATTCTGATTATTGTATTTCCTTCCCCTGGTTAAATGATAGAACGTTCATTGTGTTATTAAAATGTGTATACAGTTTTATCAGACTGCAAGCCCACATTTGGAGTGTATAAGAATGTATATATCGCTTATTACTACAATGTAAACCTGCTGAAGTTAAAGTCGGATGACACAGTTATGATGTATGGGTGTAACCTTACCATTTGTGGTCTTGCCATAGCACTGTACCTTTCATCCATTATCATGTATCATCATACGCGTCAGTGTCGGTTAAAGAAATAATCCAGATTACGTGGTACATGAGTAATATCTGCATATTCTACCCTTTTGTAATCTAAATATGAGTTAATGGTCTTTAAAAGGACGGAATTCGGTAATCATCTGTTTCTCTTGCTTTTTTTTTTTCATTTCTTTCATTTATTTCTTTATGTTGTTGGGAATTATACAATTTATAACTCTTATATTCATCATTGCAAGCTTTATCTTGCAAATGCTAGTCTTGTTGGGAAATTTTCCTGGGCTTCGATCAGTCTACATTTCAAGAGTTGACTTAGTCCCAGTTGAAGGATCAACAAATGTGTTTATAGAAAGCATAAAGGAGCTCTTATTCACCTCAGTTCCAGATTATCTTACTGTCAGCATTTTACGACTCTGTGAAGGCTACAATAAAGATCCATCAAAAAACATATGCTCACCACCTAGCTTGGGTTTCCAATACAGTAAAATTCGCGTTAATTTCTAATTGAATGATAAACTAAACAAATACATATAGGTTCGACAGAGGAGCTGTTGGGCACTATTGAGAGCCAAATTCCACCCTCATTACATTCTAGACTTGCAGGCATTCAAGGGGGTGTTTTCATCGTCTCTGTCATTCTTTGCTTTCTATTGCTCTGCTACTACGTGTTCCATATATTTGCTGAACGACGCCGTCTACTTGGTTGGTGTTGGATCTTTCTTTGCCTCATTTTGACAGCTCTCACTCTTTTATTCGCTGCAGCTACATTTGCTATTCAAATGTATGTTCACAACCTTATCAAAAGCTCTCTAAGTGACATACAAGCCTCCTTTTTGGGTAGTCTTTTCAGCGAATTTGTGCAGTTGATTATCAAGACAGGAGCATCTGTGTGGTTATCGCTCGTTTCACTTATTCTTCTGTTTCTTGTGTTTGTATTATTATGCATCAGTATGTGCTGTATAAATCGAACTAGAAGGAGAGATACAGCGCAAACAACAAACAATCAACAGGAGATGAGCTCAGTTTAATGCTTGTATATAATTTCCCCCTTTTTTATAATGTATGATACATAATTACTTAATGTTCTACTGTATTTCTGTATAAAATAAAGTTAAATGCATGATGGAAGGAGCAGCATTGGCATAAGCTATTGATAACCTTATTTTGACTGCCTCAATTATCTTCAGGCTATGATTTAATCGTTAGTGTGTAGGCGTGTTTACAAAATCACGCTTATTTCAAGTAGGATTTTTGTAAAGGATCATAGCGCCTTTGTATCATAAAGGAAAACCTTCTGCTCTTAAATGCTGCAGTTAAATGCTCTCTCGTCTACATATTCGTCGATAGCTTTTTGTCAACTTCAAATCAAGACTTGTCTCTGAAAACTACGCCCCAAAGCTCAGACTGGTTTACTTTTGTTCTTGCAAACTACATTGCATTTTTCCTTTCAAAAAAGAGGTTTTTCTGAGTGCTTTGAATGAATATTTTATTTCTTGTTTTTGCATAAACTGCTACTGAAATGCATCAACAAAAAAGAAGGAGGTCTACATGTTTGTCAAAGATTATACGTTGGCGCACCCAAGTTAAAACGTGTGACGTATTACTTAGCGGAGTTATTATTTTACAAATTAATGACGTTCTACTGGTGCGCGAGTGGCCCGCATTGTTGACAATATATTTTTCTTTTCAAGAAACACAATGTCTGACATTGCTGAAGCAGAGACATTGAAACAATGTGAGTAATTATTCTAGTCAAAAGTCATAAAAATGGGCTCATTTCTTCCTTTTTTAAATTAGCTCTTGAGCATGAGGACTTGCAAAAGAAATATTGCCAATTGGAAGATTCAGTGAAGCAGTTGAAGGAAGAAATCAATTCTCTAAGTAAAAAAAAAAAAAACATTTTACAATAAATAATCGCGCATATTTTTTGTTGTATTCATCATTTTATTATTGTAGAGCGTGATGCTGAAACTGCAAAATCTGAAAAAGAAGAAGCTGAATCACAAAAACGTAAAGTTGAGGACGTGAACAAACAGATCCAAGAACGACTGGGTCAAGCAGAGAGTGCAGAAAAGAAATTATTTGCAGAGAATAGCGAGTTACATTTGAAACTTGCTCAAGAGCGAGGTAAGATCAAATGAATATCTATCTTCTCGTATTTAAATACTCTATTTTATAGAGAAAATGTGTAAAGTGTTGCAAGAAAAGGACGAGCTTCAGCAAAAGGAGATCAATTATCTTTTATTTGAGGCAAATGCTAAAGCCGAGAAATATAATCTTCAGGTAACATTTGTGTTCTCTTGTTTGCAAAGCATATAGTAACACGTCTATAGTTAACCAATGATGACCTCAAAGAAAAATTGAAAAACCAGAAATTAGCTGAAGATACACTACGTAGCAAATATAGTGCCTTAGAAATTGATTACGAAAAGCGTGTGCATGAATCTGTAAGTTATCAACTGTAGCATATTGATTATCTAGACTAACAACCAACTAGAATAGTAAAATTCGGTCTTTAGAAAGCGTGATATCTACTCTAAAGAAGGAAAACCACTCTATTTCAACAAAAGTAGACGATCTTCACGCACGACTAAATGCTGCCAACGAACTTGTTGAACGCAAAAAGGAAGAGCTAGCAACAGTTAAAAATGAGAACAATGAACTAAGGCTTCGAGCTGACAGGCTAGAGTCTGCATATCGCACACTAGATTCGACGCATAAAGAATATACTGGACACTGTGACAAAGCAGTAACAGAGAATAGAGAAAGAATGCAAGAACTTATAAACAAGAATATGCAGCTTGAATCCCAAATTGAACAATTAAATACAAAGTTACAAGAGGAGAAAAATCTTCGAAGTGCTCAATTCAAACATATCACAGGCATAGAAAATATACCTGCTAGTCCATACAACAAATCTGGAAGTCATCTACTTGCTCTAATTAACGAATATCAAAAACTGGGCAAACATCCTGAAGAAATATACACAGACTATTTCGAGATTAGAGAAAAATACTTTGTATTATTATCTAAAGTTGACCATTCAACCACAGTTACTGAAAGATTGACCCGTGAATTGAATGACAAAGAAGCATTGTTCAATAGACTCCATCAAGAACTCGATAATTACAAAGACCAACTAAATGCATCACAACAATTTGTAAGGGAACGTGAATCATACTGTCGAGATTTAGAACAAAAGCTTGAAAAGATGAAGGACGAAATTCGCAACCTCAATTATGAAAAAAAGAGAATTGAAGCTACACTGAATGATACAACGTATCAGCTTCAATTTATTCTTGTAGATGTTCAAAAACGACACGATCCTATACCAACTCAAGTTCAATCATCTGCTGGCCTCGTGTCGGACATTACACTTACACCTACCTTGGAGCATGACCAGCTTGCATTTAGAAATGTACACGAATTGGTGGATCTCAATAAAACATTAAGAGAACAAATATATGTTTTACAGGAAGAATTGACCTCGGTAAAGAGTGCTGCAAGTAGTATTACAAATGAAGAACAAGCTGCAGCATTAAACGAAGCCCAAGTAGTCATTTCGCGCTTGGATCAGCAACTTACAGAAAAGGAAGCTGAAGTTGATTCGCTTCAAGGAGAAATTCAGAGCTATAAGATGCGCTTAGATCAACAAAACGAAACAAGCAGCTCCAACAGTGCACTTGAAACATGCTTTAATCAATTAAAGGAAACAACTGATGCGTTTGCCATTTATCGTACGGAAACGTCAGTAGAAATTAGCAAGCTCAAGGACGAACTTCAATCATCGCGTGCATCTGAACGAGAAGCAAAAGACAACCTTGTTTCAATTCAAGCTGAAGTTGTTTATCTTCGACAAAAGAGCACCGACTTGGGTGATACTGTTCATCGACGTGAAGAAGAACTAAATCAATCTCGACACGAAAACGCTGCAATCAATAGTCAACTTATTGCAAAGGAGAAAGAAATCAAGGAGATTAAAGAAACACTAAATGAATGTGCGACAAAGATCAAACAGCTTCAGAATGAAAATACAAGCCTTACATCACAGCTTAAAACAAAGAATGACTCCTTTGAGATACTTGAACGAAAGATGAATGAATCTAATGCCGAAAAGTTGCGATTGAGTACACTCTTTGAAGGCATAAATTCTCGAATTGAAAGCCTTTATTCCACATCTACAGAACAGGCTGAAGTATCTAAAGAACGAATATCCAAACTTACAAACGAATTGCAATCATGCCGTGATGTTATTGCAGCATTGGAAAAGGAGCTTGAAACGTTTAAATCTGTTAATCATCAAGATATCCAAGACAAGTACAAAGAAGCACTGGGTCAAACTCAAGCACTCAAAGAGAAGCTTGCCGAAACTGAGCATAAGCTCTCTGTGACGAATCAAGAAAAGATTGCCACTGAAATAAAATTATCAGAAGCTGAAGCCAACCTTAAGAAGGCCGCTAACGCTGATGGTACAAGTGTTGACACCACCTCAATCAGTACTTCATGTGAAGAGCATATCAGATCAATAGCCGAATTGAAAGATCGTGTGCGTGTTCTAGAAGATGAAAAAGATGAATATGTATCCATTGTAGAAGATATGAAGAAAAAGACAGCTGAAATTTCCGATGAACATAAGAAATACGTCGATGAAGCTGGCAATCGTATGGAGAAATTAAATGCTGACCTCAACGCTCGTAATGAAATGGTCTCAAAGGCTCAAGAGGTTGCTCAAAAGGCAAAAGAAGAGTATGATGTATTACGTGAGAAGCTTCAGAATGCACAAAATGAACTTGCTGCCGAAAATAAAGAACTAAAGGCTAGCAAATCTCAATTAGAGCTCGAAGTTGAAGAAAAACGAAAGCAAGTTGACACGCTTACTGCATCATTAGAAGAGCAAAAACGAGCATTAAACGATATTCAAGAGAAACTGCATGGAGAAGAAAAGAATCGCCAACAAGCTGAGGAAGCTGCTACAAAGCTCCGTGAAGATGTTGCCAAGCTCGAAAGCGAACTTAACGACAGCAAGCATAGATTGGAAGAAGTCAAGGCTCAGCTTGAAACAGCCAACGAAGTACATAAGCGTGAAAGCGCTGAATGGGCACAATTCCAAGAGAGTATCAAGAAGGGCCGTGAAGAGGCTGAAAATATGCGAAGCGAGACATTTACTCGCTTGGAAGAGTTGTTTGAAAAGATCAGTAAATGGAGCGAAACCAATGAAGGCACAGCAGGTCCTGAACTATCAGAAGTTACTCGCGATATCTATGAACAACTCCGTACAACCAACGCTTCACTTCTTCGTGAAAAGGAAAGAAGCGATGCACAGCGTCTAGAAGAAGTACAAAAGTACAGATTGCTTGAAGAAGAGCTCAATAACGTTAGACAACGACTCGATATTGCGCGCAACACGATTACAGAGCTAGAGAAGAGCGGCGAAGGTTTAGTAGAGCAAAAGACAGCTGAGCTTTCACGATATAAGGTTGAAGCTGATGCCTTTAGAGCTCAAAACGTTTCTTTGGTCGAAACCAATAATCAATTGAAGGCAAAGATTGAACGTGTTGAAAATGAATTATCTGCAAAGGCTAAAGAAATGGAACCTTTGAGTGTAAAGATTTCAGCTTTAGAAGCTCAACTGCAAAGTGCACAGGAGCATATTTCCATGTTGACTGCTAAAGAAAAGGAATGGTCTGCACGCTCTGCTGAAATCTTGGCCAAATACAATCAGATTGATCCTAAAGAAGTTGAAAGTCTTAAAGCAGAGAACGAACGTATTAAATCAGAGAACGAAACAGCAAAGGCCGAATTTGAAAAAGCCAATAATGAATTACAAGCAATGAAGGATTCAGTAGCTCCTCTGAACGACAAGATCAAGTCCTTAGAATCTGAATTAGAGTCAACTAGATCCAACCAAGCCAGTCTTGTGGCAAATGCAAATCAGAGACAACGTTTCGCATTGGAGCTCAAAAATCGTTTAACAGAGGCCAATAAGAAGGTTTCTGAACTAGAGGCAAAGATTGTAGAGTTACAAACACAACTGAAAGAAGCTTCAGCTGCTACAGTAAGTTTAATATATATCCTGGTACCATTACAAAATGCTAACTTCATAACTTAGAATAATGCTGAAGCAGACACGCAAAAGGTAAAATCATTAGAAGAAGCTCTAAAGAAAGAACAAGAAGCCAGACAAGCAGCAGAGCAAGAAGTAAAGAACACAGAAGCATCATTGAAGAAGAAGACAGACGAACACCAAACATTAGAAGCAAAATTCCATGGTTTGCTGAACAAAGCTAAAGCCATTCAGCAGGAAAAGAACAAGTATGCAGACGAGCTGAGGGCTTTGAAAGCTGAACAAGAAAATAATGCAAAGGCCCCTGCCACCAAGGAAAATGAGGGAACTAACGCTGCAGAGATCACTGCACTCAAAGAGAAGATTACTGCTTTAGAAGAAGAGAATGAGAAGGTGAAGAAGGAGTTGGCTGAAGCAGGTATCGAAATGGGAAGGTTGAAGGTGATGAATTCGATGACTCAAAACAAAAACAAGAAACTCCAAAACGAGCTCAATACTCTAAAAGAAGCAGCATCAGCATCAACGACTGCAGCTCCTAGTGCACCAATTGTCAGTACACCTCAAGTTGCAGCAGCAGTTACTGAGGCAGCCACAGAGAATATCGCCGAAAGCACAACAGAAACCGTGATGAATGGTGATAAAAAAGACAAAGATGTACAGCAGTCAAAAACAACGGATGAAATGCTTGTTGAAAAGCCTGAAGAGAAATCCGAAAAGGCCGAGGAAAAGAAACCTGAGGAAAAGCCTGTGGAGAAACCGGTGGACAAGCCTGAGGAAAAGCCTAAGGAAAAGCCTGATGAGAAACCTGCTGAAAGTTCCAGCGAGCAGCTTGTAGATCAACCCATGGATCAACCTAAAGAGTCAGTAACTGACCAAGCACCCGAGCAAGCTGACGATCAGTTAATTGAAAACCCTACTATGGAATCATCTGAAAATCAGGAAAAGATGGCTGAAGAAACCATGGTTCCGACAGAGGCGCCTGAGACAAATAAAGAAACCCCTAAAGTTGAAGATACCCAGGAAAAACAAGTAGCTACCAAGCGTGAAAGAGAAGAAGAAGAAGAAAGTGAGCCAAACTCACCTGGAAAGAAGCAAAAAAGTTTGTAAATTAGACAGTGTTTAATAAATCATAAATGTATAAAAGAGTGTTGTTCCTTTTGATGATATGATTTTTTATTTTATTTTATATAAAAGTGTGTAAGGGGGAAACAATACAAAAAACTATGTTTTTAGGTAATAGACACAACATATGATACATGATTGATTCAATATTTTACTGAGACTTCTTGGATGCCTTTTCCTCGGCCTTTCTCTTTTCTTCTGCGTTACGTTTTTCTTCATATTGCTTCTGCTTAAGTTCTCTTTCTTTTCTCTTTTCTTGTTCCTCTTTTTCATATTCATAAAGTTCAAGAAGTTCTTCCTTGGCAGAGTTTGCACTCTTTTTGCCACCACGTACAAGAATTTCATCAGGGTTACCTGTAGAAGGACTTTCATCGCCTTGTGTTGACTTGGGGAACTTGATAAACACGTTATATTTATCTTCAAGCTTCTTGACATAACGTCCATTAGGACCAATCAGATAACGATGGAACTCCTTGGGAACCTTTAATGAAAGAGTCACTTGGTCTGCCAACGTAGCTACTTGAGCATTAATGTGTGCCTTGGCGGCTTCAACATTTGTCTTGATACCCTGGATGGTGACCTTGACAGGAGGAGCGACTTTCTTTTTACTGTCCTTTCCGTTCACCTTTTCTTCTGTCTTGTCACTATCTCCAAAATCAATTCTGACACCAAAATCTTCCTTGAGCTTGTTGATGTTGGCGCCAGACTTACCAATAACGTGAGCAGAGAAGTTGGAAGGAATAGAAAATTCGGAAGTGTAAGGCTTGGCAAAGTTTTTATCTTGGGCCTCTTGATATGCCTTGTTGATTTCAGAGATAGCATGGTTTACTTGCTTGCTGAAGCCACGGACTTCAACCGTGTCGTTGGGACCGAAACGGACGGTCACGCCAGAATTGAGACCTAGGATAGCGTTCAAGGTAGTGCCCTTGGGACCACGAATGAGATCATGATAGTTGACAGGAATAGAGAGAGATTTGGATACATAATCGGAAGAGTCAGCGACAATTTCTTTTAATGCGGCAGAGGCAGCAGCAAGTGCGTCCTTGACTGCAGTCTTATCGTCTCCCTCGTATACGATCAATACGTCTTGATCCTTTTCACCAGGGAAAATGATGTCAACCTGTTGAGCTTCTTCAATACGCTGAATTCTAGCACGGTATGTGTTGAGTATATGCTGATGAAGGTAGGCATCAATCTTGATCGTGCTAAAACGATCGGGCGTCAATTTACGCACGGTGTTGGTGAGAGCCAGTTGAGCAATGACAGCGTCCTTTTCTTCTTTACTAATGAATTCAACATATACGGACTTTTCAAGTTCTTCATTAGAAGGAACACTAGTCTGAACGTTATGCTCTTTCTCGATACCCTTAAAGGCTCTCTTATCCAAAAGATATTTCAAAGCATAGCGGGCATAGGTCAAAGAGTCCTTTCCATAAGAACTGTAGGTTTGAGCCAAATCAAGCACGCTAATGTGAACAGCCTTCACCTTGGCCATGACCAGTGATAAAGCTTGAACCACTTGAGTTTCAGGTCCACGAATAGCAATGTTTTCTGAAGGATCGTCTTGGGAAGGCAATTCGACAGTACAACCTGTTTCATTAAAGACCTCTTTAAAAATTTCAGAGTTACCGCGGAGATACTTTTGCTGACGCTTGGAAGCAGTAATGGAAACAACATTGCCTGTGTTTTCAATAGTGACATAGTTTTTCTCCAAAGCTTGCTTAGCAGCCTGAGCCTTCTCCTTATCACCAGTGATGGTGATAGGGCTACTGTTCACGTTGTTACCATCAATGGCAATGAAAGGAACGTGAATCTTGACGTCGAACTCTTCTTCCAACTTTTTGATGTTGCTGTTATGAGGACCAGCAATGAAAGGATAATATTTAGCATCAAATTGATCAATCTTGATGGTCTGCTTAGCTCTCTATAGATTGTACATATGTATTCATCAGTATTGGTTTACTCTTGTCTATTCTTTGCCCTTCTTTACCTTTTCTGCAACAATCTTTTCGATTTCTTCCTTGGCAATCATGATGTCAGTAACATAACCAACAATTGTAAGAGGAATCGTGTCATCAGGGTTATTTTCATCAATGTCTTCCTCCTCTTTACGAGCAAAGTTGATACGAGTGTTTGATTTTTCTTCAATTTGTCTAAGAGTAGTACCCTTGGGGCCAATGATGAAGCGACGTACAGAAACAGGTATATCAACGCTATACACACGCTACAATAAAGTCAATTCCTTCGTTTATCTCTTTCTTTTCGTTGCTGACTTACCTTGATGAGAAGACCATTAATCAATTCCTTCTTTGCTCTAGCGACATCAGCAGGTTGACCTTGAATAAGGCAAGTGGTAGTTCCTGAGCGATTAGTGGAAGCAATGATGTTGGTACTAGTTCTGTTCATAACCTTTTGAATGACATCAGCATTGCCCTTGAAGCCTAAAGGCTTGTTTTGGGCATTAGCAATTTGTTGATTAGCTGGCAATTCCAAAACATCCGTGATGGGTGTAGATGTAATCTTCTTTCCGGTAGCAGAAGGAGCCATAGGGCGAGTACGAACAGGTGCCTGAGGAGAAGACTTGAGACGAGAGGCAGCATTAGCAGACCAACCGCTTACAACAGGAGTACGAGGTGAGGCAGAAGCAGAAAGAGAAGGAAAGGCAGCTTCAGAACTCAAGTCGAGATTCTTTTTGGTCGAAGGTGTTTCCTTCTTCACGGGTGTCACGGGCTTTTTACCGATGGGAGTAGGGAAGTCGCCAGAGATGAGAGGCTCAAAGTGAGAATTGTCCATAACAACAGGGTCATCAGGAGAAGGAACGAATTTGTCTTCTTCAGCAATGGTAGCTACAGTTTCGGTCATGGTAGTGGTAGTGGTAGTGGTAGTAGTGGTAGTAGTAGTGTTCAATTCCGTATTAGTGACATTAGCAGCAGCAGCAGCAGCAGCTTGAGCATGAAGAAGAGCTAACTGAGCAGAAGGAGGCAAAGAGTCCAAGGAAGGTTCGTTTGAAGCCATATGTGATGTACCAGTTGTTTAGATGTTAAAGAAAACTAAGAGAAGACCAAGCAAGAATTTATTTCTTGAAGAAATAAGCTATTATTATATATTTTGGTGGTTGTAAAAAAAAAAAAGAGAAAAGAAAGTTCTATTGTGTGTTTGTGTGTGTGTTTATGTGTCAAACATTTTTTTTCATCTGTCTTTGTGTGCAATGTCTGCCATTAAACCAGCCAATCAGATGATGCTACAATCTATGGACGTGTCCTTTGTTGAGGCCAGGTGAAATTAAATCTTTAGAATCAGTCCTCAGTGTGTTACTCCTTTTGGATGAGCGACACTTCTTTTTTATTTAAATGATATATTTCATAGCACATATAGCTAATCTACTCTTCACTTCCAACTTGGTTTATCGTCATGTTCCTGACCCTTATATGGTATATATATATATACATTATGATTCTTCATAGGCTTATTTTTGTATATACATATATATAGGATGAAATATTTCATATACCTCAAGCACAGCAGTACTGTCAAGGCAACTACTTTACATGGGATCCAAAGATAACAACCCCACCTGGATTGTAAGAGAGCAAAAAAAGAGAGAATAATTCAGTTGATAAGACGTGTAATGAGGCTGTATATAGATATATCACAAGTAACGTACTGATCTATTTGAGTAAGAGCCTATTTGAGTTGAATGATCTCTGCACTGTTCATGCTTTACGTGTCACAAATGCTTTATTCTCTATTGGATTATACCTTGTCCTTGCTGCATTCTTCAAAAGAAATAGACTTTATGCATTGACACTTGCTTGGTTACCTGTAAGCCACTTTTATAGCTTCGTTTACTATACAGATTCGGGGTCCACTTTCTTTGTATTGCTGTCTTATTTACTGTTGAAGAAGAAAAAGTATCATCTATCAGGCATTGTAAGTACATTATTTTAGCCAATATGGAAAGCTAATAGAGATAAACAGGCAGGCATGATATCCTTGACGTTTCGTCAAACAAATGTTATCTGGGTGTGTCTATTCATGATGCTCACTATTATCGAAACACTTTCTTCTAAAGGCTTATCGAACCCTTCCTTTGAATCAATAGACGGATGGGGTAAGGAGGAAGGGGCTAATGAAAGTTATATACATTGATCTAATATGTCAACCAGGAACAATGATAAAGTCTCTAACAAGCCTCTTGCAGAAAACATGGGCACATGTATTTACAGTTTTACCCAATGTGGTAATGTATATAGTCACCATCATTTCATTCGCTGTATTCTTGGTCTGGAATGGCGGTATTGTCTTGGGAGATAAATCAAATCATATGGCAGGTCTTCATTTCCCGCAGCTATTTTATTTTACTAGCTTTTTATCATTTTTCACACTTCCCTTCTGGAATATTCAACAGATCACCCAATTTATCTATCAGTTGACTATAAAGAGAGTTGTATATAGCTTGATTTCTACAATAATTGCACTATATCTTGTACATAAATACACGTAAGTCTCCATAAAGGCATTTGAAAGAAATTAGGCTAACTCCCTTCTCATAGATATGAACATCCTTTTATCTTGAGCGATAATAGACATTATAGCTTTTATGTTTGGAGAAAAATTTATAAAAGACACTGGTCTATCAAGTACTTATTGACGCCTATTTACATCATCAGCGGTCAATTCAACCTTCACAAGCTTGGTAAGCAGCGTGAATTTGTGGATGATACCAAAAACTAACTTGAATTCACAGGCAAAGAGACTACCTTCTTGTTTATACTTGGTTATGTTATCACGCTCATCCTAACGCTCGTTCCTTCGCCTCTATTAGAGTTTAGATACTTTATTATCCCTGCTCTGTTCTACATGATCCATACACCGCCTCCATCTACTCGCTCTACAGTATTAGCTCTCTTGTTTTACATCTGTATACAAGCAAGCACAATGTATCTATTCATCTATAAACCCTTTGTGTGGCAAAACGAGCCCAATGAGCTCCAAAGATTTATTTGGTAAAAAACAATAAAATTTATCTTCTCCTGCGTCTTTCTTCATCACTATCAAAGTCATCCTCGTCTTCTCTTGCTCTTTTTCCTTTGCCTTTCTTTGCCTTATTCAAAAATGTATCCAAGCCAAACACATCCTGTTCTGTCTTTGGCTTTCCTAATGTTTCTTTTTCGAATTCGACAGGTCCGCTGGCGTCACCACTTCCTTCAGCACCTTGGAATCCTTTACGGTTCATGCCAAACTTATCTTGTTTTATCGCTCTTTCGAGATCTTCTGCATTTGTGCTTCCTAATACTTCAGATTCGTGATTTTCACCTCTGTATCTGTAAATAGAGGTAGATGATTGATTATAGAGAGGTTTATCGTAGGTTTGATAAGCATCATCATCCTTGAATCCAGAGCCGATACCTTCTGACTGATTGAACAATCTTGCATCAAACATGCTTTCTTTACTTAGTGTTGGCTTGGCTAAACCAAGAGCAATCTTTTCAGAAATATCACGTCCTTGTTCACGAGCAAGATGCTTAGCTCGGGCTTCGGCACCCATGTTGCTCATACGTAACTCTCTCTGTAACTGCCTATGACGTTCTCTTCTAAGTCTATCTCTTTCTCGGGCTGCCTCTTCTTCATCACTTTCATCTGATGCACGTCTTCTGACTGGTGATTCGTCTTCACTTTCTGATCTTTCAGATTCGTCTGAAGAATCGTAATTGGCAATAAGTGAAGCTGCTGTGGGTCTATTGGCATTAGAGGGTGGCTCTCCTTTATCGCCAGCGGCAGTAGAGGTGTTTGAAGGCTTGATACCGGATCTATTAAAAAAGGCATAAGCAAAAAAAAAGCTCTCTTCTATGCTTGTTTCATTTACCTTTCTTCACGAGCCTTTTGAGCAAGTTGACGAAGCTTTTCTTCTTCGGCTTCCTTTTGTTTCTGTGCTAATTTCTGTTGCATCAAGTTACGTTGTCGAACTTCTTCACGAGCATGACGGTCAGCAGCATATAGAGCTTCAGAAAACTTTGCAAAGTTGTCATTGATTGTCAGTTCTTGAAGACCACGGCCATCCGCAGCCAAACGTTTATCTAAAGGAATAGTGTAACCCTTTGTATTCTTCCAGTTTGAAATACATGGCGGGATGACCCATTCTGCTTGTTCTTTAGCTGTCAGTTTACGAGGAGGTGAGTGCATGACAGGTGCTGGTGGGGAGGGAGGTCCACGAGGCACTTTTTTATGCAGGTGGCTTGGGGGCTCTAGTGGATCTACTGGGGCATCGACCATACGAATAATACGTTGCTTTGCGCCCGAATTGAATCCCTCTCCAGTGTTTGCTGGTGTGTAGCGAATATATGTGGGCTCCTTATTGTTGCCTCCTGAAGTGGATACCACGTTCTTTGGCTTCAATGCTTGTACTTTGGAGTTGACAATACGTTCAAGGGCTTGACGGGTCTTTTCGGCTACGCTCATCACTTCTTCTTCGCTTGGTCTGTCCATGACAAGCTTATCGACATCGACATCTTTGCGTTCTTTGAGTGGCACCATATCCTTTAGGGAAGTGTGAATAATACGATCGTCACCATGTCCTTGTCTGGCAATAGCATCATATTTCACATTGCCGTCAGAATCCACTTGAAGGGTGAGTGCACCTCCCTTTCGTTCTGTGCTGGCTTTATCTTTACGTCCCATGTCGAGTGGATATTGAGGTATATTAATTTCAGGAAAGGCACCGCCATTGCCAAAATCTTCAGGAAGTCGAGGCCTGAAATTTTGTCGCTGTCCATAAGGAGGGATGCGATGAGCAGTTGCTTTGGTGATTATTTGGTTGATTTGTTTTTCAAGCTGTGGTGCTGAAGAAGTTGATGATAAGTTCTGGCGAGGTTTTGGTAAAAGACTATTATTATTATTAATAAAAATCAATAGTTTCTATAAACATGTTTACCTTGAAAGTGAAGCCATGATTTATTTTAAGAGAAAAAAAGAGAGAGCTTTTTCCTAAAACGTCAGCACATACTTTTTTTTTTTGCAGCTTCTCTTTCTAACCAGCTCTTCACCAATCAGAAAATAAATTTAAGCACTGTGACTGTTTATTATCGGTTCATGATCCACTGCATTTTTATTTAATGTTGAAACAGCACCTTGGGTTTAGTGCGCTTTTTAGCCTGGTGTTATCTTGTGTAAAATATAAACACATAAGAAAGTCCATCATATTAGTGAGTTATCAATAGCTATTATTTCTTTCGATGCTGTCAATAAAAATACGCTTTTATGTATAGTCCAAATTCGAGACTTTCCATTTCATAAACCATTCATATCTTATTTATCGAGTTTCTTATTTCAGTCTCGAAAAAAAAAATGAAAAAAGGTTTTTTGACAGCAATAACTCGCTCTCTAGTGATTGCTGAAGTATACTATCAATAAATGTTTCTCTAGTAACGCCACTGTAGTCGTTGTACGGGTTGGTTGACTTAGGTTTCTAAGTCTTCGGTTGCTTTTTAACTAGGCTCTCTTCAGCAGTTTTTTCAGAACGCTTAATATTCATGTACATTTGTTCACTTGTGGTTTTTCAATAAAGGACGTAAGAATTACTGACGTCAGTTGAAGCACCTTCTATGAGATTGTAAACTTTCTCACCTCGGTCATTGCAAAGGCTTTCAAGCCCATCTTCATTAAAAAAAAAAGCGTTTATTGCGTTTTAGAAAGAGAAGTGGTAAATTCAAGTTCAAAAGATAGGAACCAATTAGGTATATCAACAAAACCAAGCATAAATAAAAGAGATGATATCAGTCATAAGAGCGATGGACACAAAGGCGCCAATATTAACATTTGAGCTAATCGTAGCCCATGCAGGAATAAGAGAGTTAGAGACGAGTTGCATCTTTTAAAGATTACATCAAGAAACTTTTGTTTGACAGCGAATCTACTCAAGTTGTACAAAATTCCGTTACCATGCCAATGGCCATCAGTATTGTCCCTTGTGGTAGCCAAGGCGAATCTGGAAATGAAGAAGCATACTTGTCAGATGATTTTTTTTTTTCGTAGGAAACAAAATGCTTTATTAAAGTAGAGCACGTCGTGATGAGGTGTGTGTACTAATAAAATGACTGATCAAGACAGCGCTGTGCGGCCATTGAATGGGTCAAGAGCTTCTGTAACTGAATTAACTACTTCCAAAGACAAAAAAAAGATGATTATGGATTACAGTGGACTCTCAATTACGGAATACAGCAATATGCACTATTACATATTGAAAAATGCCTTTTCATGCCGCACGTTATTGAATATTTACAGTACAAGTTGTACGTCAATGCGACAAGTCACAGCGTCTCTTTTTTTGGTAATACAGGTATACTTTCCAGAAGTGTACACATAAAGCAAAGGCGGTCTTCTCATTTTAATTAGAAAATGCTATTGCAATTGAGTCTATTGTTTGTTCTATTTTGCCCCATCATTGTTATATATTTCACAGGTGGATTTGCAGGATCTAACAACAGCAACGCAAGTCGTAAAAAGAAAAAGAAATCAAAAAAGAAGAAGAATGAACAAGAGCAGGAAGTAATTAAGGAAGCGTTACCGCAGCAGCAAGAGCAGAAGAGAGAAGAAAAGGAACAGAAACATGATGAAAAGCAAGACAAGAATAAAAAGAAACAAAATAAAAAGAAGCAACAAGTAAAACAAGCGATGGAAGAGAAGAAGCAAGAAGCAAAACCGATGGTGGAAGACAAGAAGCAAGAGACAAGCCAGACAGCAATTGAAGATAATAAGCAAGAAAATGAATCAGAGAGACAAGTAAAAGAAATTGATGAACATATGGATCATACTGTTCGTTATGCACGTGTGTTGCGTATAAAACCAGAAGAGGAAGAGGACGGTTGGGAACCTGTACCTTACGAGGATGGATGGAATCAAGTAAAAGGTAAAGTATGAATAGATGAATAAGAATAACGAGATAGTTAACATTTATAACCTAGTTCGTCGTCCTGCAGGTCCTGCTACGACTCATAGTAGCAGCAGCAGTACGAGTACAGTGAATGTCAAGTTGGATAAGAAACAACGAGAAAATGCAGCTAGAAAAGAAAGACAAAAGGCGGCCAAAGCAGAGGCAGAGGCATTGAGACTTCAAAAACTGCGAGCACATCAAAAACAATTAGAAAAGCTAAAAATCGAAGAATTTTACTCAAAAGGCAAAGGCAAGAATTCACCTTGGGGTAAAAATAAGACTAGTTCCAAAGTGCCTCAGTCAACAGCAAGCGTAAATGAATATGGTCAGCTGATTTGGGATTAGAGGAATAAGAATAAATATCTCTTTTTTTTTTATTATAATTTATTTAGTTGACATAGAAGGGGTGGGAATAGAATTCACAAGTTTCATCATGTTGTGTGGTGGCAGTCAACTTGTAGTAGAAGGCGGTATCTTCAGCCTTGGCAGATTCGGGAATAGTGTCCTTAATATTGAACAAGTTGTTAATAGATTGGCTGCCAGACCAGCTGCTGTGAATCAATTTGGATTCACGGGTTTCGATATTAACAGAGTAAAGTTCTAAGGAAGTCAAAGTATCGGCGTGGGCAGCAGAATCACGTTCTATCAAATGGATTAGTATCCTGATATAAATACAATGGAAAGGAAGACTTACGAATCTGGACGGCGTATTGTTGGTTTACGGAAACCTTTTCGCCAAGAGTGGGAGAGGTGACTTCGACACCAAAGCAACCGCGGTCAATGTTTTCATTCAAGCCTTTATATTCAGCCTCTTCGACAGCGTTAGAGTGAGAAGAGGACTTGACCTTGAACACCTTTGACATCAAAGTACAATCGGGACCCTTTGTGTTGTGGACCCAGACACTATATTCATTGGTTAACAATGCTCTAAAACGGAAATGCTTCTTAATTATATTACCGGAATTCAAATTGTCCAGGCAACTTAAGCTTGCTAACTTTGGTCAAGTCAACACTAACCAAAAAAAAAATGTCAATGTTTGTCTTGTGTTTAGGATCGTTCAATTTTGCTTACGATAATGTGGCCTTCTTGTTCAACTTGTAGTTACCCTTCCAGACGGTGGTGAGATAGGTAGCCTTTCCTTTGCTGTTAATAGAGTAAGCATCAACGCCAACGACAACCTTAGCTTGAGCATTAGGCTTTCTTGCTGTGAACAAGTACAAGTTAGTCTATTTTTGTATTTGATATACATAAAGCAGTAATTCTTTTTGAGAACGATACATTACTGACTGTAACTGTGATCTTTTTGGGATTTGAGAAAGTTTGTCCCTTGCTAGGACCAGTAACGGCAATACCTATATGATACAAGTTTTAATAAAAAGATGTGTGATAAAATCAAGGAGACATTACCACCACAGAACTTCTTTAATGCGCCATCAATCTCATCTTGAAGTGAGTCAGCTTGAACAAAAGTGACAGCAACAAATGCAATTAGAAAACCAAAGAGTACAGCTAATCTCATGGTTTATTAAGTTTTGTAGGAAAAAAAAAGAAACAAACAAAAATAGAGAACAAAGCGACCATAAATTCAAGATTATATAGATTACACAAAGAAATTATAAAAATATTAAAAAGCTATTTTTAACCACCACAAGAACTCCGTTTATTGACTCTTCTATTCCCTCGTTTCCAAGACGACGGTTGCCCTAGACTTCAGAGATTAATGATAATCCATAACATAATATCGCTTGCTTTCTGGCAGAGGCAATCAAAAGATTGACATGGCATTTTTCTTCTGGTCTTAAAGAGATACCAATGTTACACCAGTCATTTTTCTGAATTTTATGTGGTGACATGCAAAGGACTTCAAGGTAACGGGATGTTCGTTCATTCAAAAATGTTGGAATATCCGTATAAGGGTAGTCTTCCTTTGTGACTCCCATGATCTTTTGAGTATAGTGCCAGATAGCGTATCTTAGAGGTGAAGTATCGACCACTTCCTCAGCGATAGGATGGAATATACTATAATGTGGTGATGTTAGTAAAGGAAAAAAAAAGCTCAAGATACTTGTTATACCTCCAGTCTGTAATACTAATAGCTTCTGTAAATTCTGTCACCAAGTCATCTCCTATACCAGGCAGATAATAGTTGGCCAAGTCACAACCGTGGTCCTCCCAGCAATATTCACCAAGCATAAACTCTTGATGCTGACTTGAATCAAACGTTTCGAGCTTGATAGCTTCATTCAGTTCTGGGTCGATGAACCGCTGCAAGTCTTCATAAACTGAATTTATCTCTTTTGACTGTGGTAACTCAAAGCTGGACTGTTTCAATTCCTTTCTCGGTTGCTCTTCCTCGTTGTTATTTAATTTTAACTTTTCAAAGCTTTCAATAAGTTGCTCTTTGAGTGTTGAGTTCTTTTTAGACTTTAGCTTGGAGATCAGCTCCTTCGTTGTCTCTTCAATATCAATCGAGACGCCCAGCCCGATACCATTGTCAGATGAAAAGAGCATATCTTCACTCTCGGTGCAGTCTTGATGACTGTGGCTGTCATCTAGCTCGTTCTCGATACCTCCTTTGGTATGTCCACCAGGATAACAGAACCCACCTGACATGTCAATCTCTGGCGTGATACCGCAGCCAAGTATATAACTCGATAGTCCCAGAATGGTTCCAATGATCAAGACAACCTGAACTAGCTCACCTTTACTCCACGCATCACCAAGATCACCACTGAGCAATTCGACCACGTCCTCGCTCTGTAAGCTCCACGGCTGGCGTGCGAGTTTCAGAATGAGACCACTGATATTCCTTAACTTGGTTGGCACATGTTCAACTCCCCTGAGCCAATCTGGGTTGCCTCCGTTATACAAAAAGTCCAGCTTCAAGATGCTCACGAGGTACTGACACTTTTGCTCTGCGGCCACCATGATACCAATGTATGTCTTCCAAGTTCTATGTAACGGTCCCAGTGGTGCCTTTATGATCTTGGTAAATGTCACATGATAGGTTTCAAAAAATGTTGGAAAAAATGATAGTATACGGTATAGATTAAACAGCCTTCCCTCTTCAGTGTAGGTCTTGATCATCATTTGTCGAACGTACTCATCTGAAGGTCTTCCGCCTGTGAAGTCGAAATAGACAGAATGATGGTTTTCTGGTATAGTGTTTATAGTACTACTATTGTTGCTGGTATCCGTGTTATTATCTGGCATGGATGGGTCATTTTCTTCATTTTGAAGCGAGAAGGAGGATGTAGACCATGGTGAAAATGATAAATTCGATGATCTTGGATAATTCACAATCTGGTTACAGCTGACAGTCGATTCAAGTGAAAAGATATCATATAACGAGATAAAATGTGAAGGTGAGCTGTGTCTGGGTTGAGGAATACCAATAGATGTTGTTTCCTTTTTTGTTTGGGTTAGTATATATGATCTTTAAGTATATCATCTATTATACCTTGAGTACGTTCAACAAGTCTTTGAATGTCTGTCGAACGTCAGCATAAGGACATGTCACGGACAATCTGAGAATTGTTAATAAATAATAAAACAACTGTTCGCTATATTCATCGTCTTGTTCTTTTTCTCCTTCTGACTGCTCAATATCTTCCTCTGCAATATACGTGTTCATGACAACTGTAGGTGATGTGGCGTTGGATGTGGCTGAAGGTGACAATGAAGAGCGTGAGGATGATGACCTGATGAATGATTTGACTACTTGAATGATTTTTTCAAGTGCTAAAGCTCTATCTTCAAAACTTTCAACCTGCAGGCCTTTAAATAATGCAATACGCTGTCTGCATGCTTGCAGTTGTTTCGCTCTTGTATCTCGAACTAACAATGTAAATCAAGATGTCTTTAAATCAAATGATGAAACTCACTAGACTCTATCAGTTCTTCGTTCTGAATCATTTTATTATTTAACCATGTATAAAAAAAAAGAATGGAAAGAGAGAGAAAAAAAGAAAAAGTGAGAAAGGATCATGAAATTTATAATGTGACGGTACTTTTTATACATAAAAAAGCTGCCTTATACCCACATACTTTTTATTGTAACACGTTTACAAAACAGAGTTGAACACTCTGTTATGACGGCAGATACTAGGACCATATTCATCGTACTCTGCTTTTGTGTGACAGTAATTATAAAACTCACCCTATATATACAACACATGAGCGATAAATAATTCCCGTATTTGATTTAACTTACAGTCGAAGCCAATAAGCTGCCTCCAAACCAAACAGCATGACGCTGCTTTTTATGCGAAATGACATTCACTTCCATAGGCGTTGCCCTTGATCCACTAGCAACTTCACTATCCTGAATACGCTTATCAACAACTCGCTTGATATCTCTTTGGAGTCTCTTGTCAAATCCTTTAAACATCGTAGATCCACCTGACAATACAATGTTCTTGTATAATCCTCTTCTGACATCAATAGGACTCGTCTGGATCACGGTATCAACAATTTCAGGTAAAGGAGTCAAAAAGTCAGAGCTAGCAATCTCTGGATTGAAAAAGATTTCAGGTGCAAGGAAACGCTCAAAACCAACATCTACGGTATAATTCTTTAAAGGGTTGAGAACAAGAAAAACAAGAAAATAAAATGTCATTTACCTTTCCAGTCACTGAATAGATACCTTCGTATTTTTTGAAATACTTGTCAGGCTCTTGATCATACTTTTTGAATTCTTTGACGATGTCAGGACAGACATAACTGTAGTCTTCTTTAATAGCCTCTGCTATACGCAGCGAATCTTCTGGTGGGATATTCGTCTCACCACGCTCACGGAGTAAGTTTTGAACAAATGAAGTAATGTCTCGACCAGCAATAGGCACACTCTTGATAGAACTGCCAATCACATAACCTTCAGCCTACACAAAGAAAGTGAACATGACTGCATTTACTGAGAAGTTGGAGAGACTTACGACTGGAATCACGTGAGTTACGCCATCACCAGAGTCAACGACCGTGCCTGTCAAGGTCTGCTCGCTCACCTTGTTGGAAGTCCAAGATGCAGCAAGAGCCAAGACAGCTTGAACGGCAATATAAAGGCCTTGAACGTTGAATGACTCAAACATGATTTCTGCTGTCATTTCACGATTCTCTGGAGCGTTTAAAGGTGGTTCAGTCTAACAAGATGAGCTTGTTGAACTTGTATTTTCTTGCTTTTTCTTACCAAAAGGAAATAGTGGTCTTCGGGCTCACAGCGCAAATATTTGAAGATAGATTGTTCCCAAAATCGTTCCATATGATCCCAATTGCTGATTTGCCCGTGTCGAATAGGATAATTCAAGGCCATCGTCTTTGCTTGAGCAATAGCTTCATCTCCAATGAGAAAGTCAAGATCTTCAATACCTCGCTTAGAAGCCAAATTGCTGCTCAAGAAGGAGGGCTTTGAAGACACATTGGGCCTTCCGCTGCTCGAGACACTCTCACGCGTACAAATGGCAGTAGGGAAAACAAAAGAAGGTTCGTTGTTTCCACTAAAACCAAGTTTAGTGTACCTATATCAGCACGTACATAAAAAGGGATGAGTATTTGCCTCTTTATCTCGTATTTTATTTAAATTATATATCAAACATACCCAGTACCATTATCCATAACCACAACTGGTAATTTAGTCATTTTTGTCTTTTTTTATTTCTCTAATGAAAGAGGGCAATTCAATACCTTTTGCACACTTGGTGATACTCATAACGGAGATTGAATGCGTTTAAATTCAAACGCAGCAAAAAGCTCAGTAGCATGTAAAGCGTGTGTTTAAGAGAAGAAGAAAGTGTATATGTGTGTGAATAGATAAATATATTAGTTATTGTAAATAGAATAAAGATAATAATAATAATAATGATTTTTTTTTCAAAAAAAAGGGAAACAAAAAAAGAGAGACTCAAAATATGACATTAAACTACATCAAGATACAACCACAACAACCATCATTTCTCGATTCAGACATGTCGAATGTTTCCCTTTGTCCACCTTTTGATCTACCCTCTTGTTCTTTGTTCATCCTACGAATCTCACGTACAACATCATAAAATACGTCGTCTACATGGATTCGCTGTTTGGCTGACGTTTCATTAAAAGGACAACCAAAGCTCTTGGCTAAATCCCTTCCTTCTTGATTTGATACCTGTCTTTCGCCTTCCAAGTCACATTTATTACCAACTAATATCATTGGGAAGAAGTCACGATCTTTGACACGTCGAATTTGTTGATAAAATGTATTTACTTCTTCAAATGAAAGATATGATGTGATGGAATAAACAAGGACAAACCCTTCACCATTTCTCATGTATTGTTCTCTCATTGCGCTTTAAATTAAATTAAAAGACCGATAGTTTTCCTTTTTTTTCATTATAAACATACCTATATTCCTCTTGACCTGCTGTATCGAGTACATCTAATAAGGCTGTCTCTTCATCAATAACACACTGTTTACGATAAGAGTCTGACAAGTATGTGCATGTAAATATCGAAACATTTCATCTTTCTTATCGCTTTACCTTCAATCGTTGGGTCGTATTCATCCACAAAGTGAGACTGAATGAACTGAATGGTCAAAGCAGATTTACCAACACCTTTATATATATGTATCAATATCATTTTCTTTGTTATCCTCCTTCTTTTATTGCTTACCACCGCCTCCTACGATAACGATCTTGTACCTGAAAGCGATAAAAATAAAAACTCAGTTTCACTGTAAGTACATATGTATAGCCAAAGATTCTTACTCTCTTAGAAATGACGCTTTAGACATTTTTATTGTTGAAGAAAGAAAATAAAAAAAAAAGGAGAAAAAATAAAGAATAAAGAAATTAGAAAAGAATGCAAACAGAGAAAGAAAGAAAGAGAGAAAAAAAAAAAAGAAAAAAAAAGAAAGAAAAAAGAAAAAGAATGCACAACACAGGAGAGACGAGAGTGACACGCAGAAAGAAAGAAAGAGAGACAGCCAAAGTCTAATTTTTCGTAAGACAGAGCACAGTGAGATACCTTACGCAAAGAAAAAAATATAGTCCTATGGCATGAGCATCATTTCTATTTTTGGCTCCTAGTTCTTTAAGTTCATTCAATGATCCATTTCTCTATTTCTCTCCCCTTTTCAAACATTCACGTTTCTTTTCCTTTTGTGCTTCTCCTCTTTAAAAATAACAGCCTTATCCCCCTTTCTCTAATATATGAACAATTTCTGTCTTGAGCAAAAGGGTCCAATGTATACAATATCTCCTTTTCGTAGACCTCTTCTTTCTGATCTCCTCTTTCTCATTCATTCTCCTCTCTTTTGCTTTCTTTTTGAATCAATAGACTGTGTATGTATAAAGTTTATTTCAAGCATTCTAATTTTAAGCAGTAGTAGTAGTAGCAGCAGCAGTCTCAGTAGTCTCAGTAGTCTCAGTAGTCTTGCTAGCTTCATCATTTGCTGACTTGTTTTCGGCTTGTTCTTCAAGTTGAGTAGCTGCCAATTCAGCAGCAAGTTTAGCCGTAGCATCTCCATGGGGCACAAAATCAATAGTGATTGCTTCCGGAAGGTTAAGAGCATCGCGAAGTTGTTTACTAACCGAGAGAGTTGATCACTTGTTTTTCTTTATGTACAACTATTTGCTTACCTAATACTGGCAATCTTCTCTTCATCCTTACTTGTCTTGACCCATAAAGCAATTCTGTAAAATGATTTTCTCACAGATACTACAGCACCACAAATCTCGTCTTCTGTGGCCAATTGCTCACCAATAACAGCCAAGAGCTATCATTTCCTTTTTTTTAAAAAAACACACAATCGCAAGATATGTCTTTATAATATTCCTTACAAGATTCATCCAATGTTCGTTAATGGCATCACCTGCCTTACTCTTGGGGAGTTGAATACCAAACTTACCACCTTCTGCATTGGAAGGATCTTCCCATTCGGGACGAATGCCTTGCTTGAAGAGGTGAAAGTTGGAGTTGGGTGAAAGGTGGTTGATTTTGGAAACATTATTGAATGTGCTTTGTAAAAGATAAGTGTTTAGAAAAAAAGAAAAAAAAAAGAGTCTGCTATTGAGTACATCTACCTCCAAAAGTCCTCGACTGTATCAAAGTTGATGATTTCTTTCAAATTATCAGCCCAAGATTGAGCACTGGTCTTTTTGCCTGGGTTATCAAACCACAATGTCCAAGTGTTTTGAAGAGAGTGCTTAACAGAATAGTCAACTTGAGCAACTTCAGTGTGTGCGGCCATAATAAAACGAGAGTTCTCGGCTATATTTTTTTTTTATTTAAAAATAAATACAGAGGGGGTGAAGAACAGCAGAATGCGATAAGCTAAGCCACATTTCGTGTTGCTTTAGAAACAGTTCATGCTTACCTCAAAGCACATAAACACACACATACACACACACATACACACACACACACAAACCTTGTCTTATCTATTAAATGTTAAATGACCATTTTGAGATCACGCGTGTGAACAAGTTTGTACATGCATGATGCAAATCTCTCTTTGTGTTTTTGCCTTTTTGTTATTTTTTTGATGTTCAGATCGGACCGGACTAAATATTAAAAAAGGGCAGGAGAAGTTGAAGAGATCAAAGGCGTATATTTTCATACACAGCAAAGCTCGCAATAAAACTCAAGGCATCCCTCATCCATGATCTGTCTTTTCCCCGCCCTATTTGACGAGACATGAAGGTGTGTATGTGATAAAATAAAGGATGGATTGACACTAGATGGATTGATGATTCATTTTGTATACGACAGCACACTGACTCCAATTTCTGTTAGTTGAATATCGCCAACCCAGCCACTGGCTGCCAAAAGTTGATTGAAATTGAAGATGAACGTAGACTGTAAGTAATTTCGGAATGGTAGAATGACACATTTTGTGTGGAAAAAAAAATAGAAGGGAGATATTAATATATATATTACAGTCGAGGCTTTTACGACAAGCGTATGGCCCAAGAGGTCTCTGGCGACGCTCTCGGTGATGAATTCAAGGGTTACGTTTTCCGTATCACTGGTGGTAACGACAAACAAGGTTTCCCTATGAAGCAAGGTGTTCTCTTACCCCACCGTGTTAAGCTCTTGATGTCCAAGGGTCACTCTTGCTATCGCCCTCGTCGTACTGGTGAACGCAAGAGAAAGTCAGTCCGTGGTTGTATCGTCGGTCCTGATCTTTCTGTCTTGTCTCTCGTTGTTGTCAAGCAAGGTGAGCAAGATATTCCCGGTTTGACTGACACGACTGTTCCCAAGCGTCTTGGTCCTAAGCGTGCTTCCAAGATTAGAAAGTTCTTTGTATGTTTTATGTATATACGCACAATCAATGATGATTTGCTAATGATTTGTGAATAGAACTTGTCCAAGGAAGACGATGTCCGTAAATATGTCATCCGTCGTGAAGTTCAACCCAAGGCTGAAGGTAAGAAGGCCTACACCAAAGCTCCCAAGATTCAACGTCTTGTGACTCCTCGCACCCTTCAACACAAGAGACGTAGACAAGCTATTAAGCGTAGAAGAACCGAAGCTTCCCGTGAAGCTGAAGCTGAATATAAGCAATTACTTGCCAAGCGTGTCAAGGAGGCCAAGGAAAAGAAGATTGAACGCCGTCGTACTTCTTCCATGCAAAAATCTGCATCTGCTTAATTTATTCTTGCATCCCAAATAAAATCAACTTTTTCTAAGCGTAAAGACAATTTTGATTGTTATTATTTTTGCGTAGTACACACGACATCAATATGATTCAACTTTGTGTAAAGAAAAAAGATAAATGAACTGGGTACATGATGTTGTCAAATGAGCCGTAGAAAAAGTTATGCAGCCAGCTGAATCATGTACGTAATTTTATTTTTTGCTTTAAATTTCTAGTTTTTATTTCTTTTTCTTTTTTTTTTTTCCCTCTTCTCTCTCTTCTTTCTTGATATCATTTTTGACAAATGAAGATCGTATATGCTTTATTCATTCTGTGTGCAGTCTCTGTTCAAGCAATACCTGTGTTCGATGCAGAGCTGATGGCAAGTCCATTTATTCATGAACGTAATATTCGTTATCGCGGTGGCAGTAAAACACCAAACATTACATCTGAAAAGAATGTCAACCTCATAAAAGAGCAATAAGGCTCTCTACTTTTTCTGTAAATATGTGTTATACAACAATCACCCCAAATATTTTTGTTTTGGTTTTTTTTTTTCTCGAAATAAAGGCCTGTAAATAGGGAATTTGATAAAATATCTGTTTTCATAAGTGTCCTTTTTAGGTAAATTTAAAACATCTATAAAATTCTATGTGGATTATATGGGTAATGCGCTTATGCTACAATTTAGACTCCGTGTACAAGTATAAGCATATGGGTTTATTCTTTTCTCTCTTTCTTTTTTCACTCATTCAAATTTCCTCTTTTATCAAAAGGTTGTACCTTCAGGAGGTTGGGATAACTTTTTACCGACAGTAGCCATTTCTCTATGACAACAATTAGCATATAAACATAGATAGGGGGGAGACCATTGAATGATTTACCTTCTTAGCTCTGTCAAAACGGTCTCGAGTGTATAATTTGGTCTCCAATTGGCAAGACAAGGTAAACGATTGGGCTCAACCTACACTAAGTGTGAGTATCATTCATTAAGAAAATAACTTTGTACCTTTCCAGTCTGAGGGTTGACACTGGGTAAATTGATTCTTGAAACGAATTGAACTGACGGAGGTTCACTTGGGTAGTTGTCTCCACAATATACTTTTAAGCTGTAAATACGATTTTCGTGAACAGACTATGCAGAAACGAATGAGTTATATGATGTTTCAACATTTTGTTATATATACTTTACATGAGGTGCACCAAGAATGGTGGCATGCCAGTTATGCATCAAAATATCATCGTCTGCTAATCCATAGCTACAAGCACCGTCTCCAATGCCTTTCTCTCCCTTTTCTAATTCTTCTAACAAACGAAAATTACGAGGAACTATACAGAGGTTATTTAGTCATTTGTGCTGTATGTAGCTCTTTGTTACTGTTCAAATTGTCATCTTTACCTTGCGCCATTATAAACAGAGAAAAAAAAGTGTGTTTTTTCTTTGTAAGAAAAAAAAATGTTTATTTAAAAGGTCTGAAATAATGGTCCATCTGCGAACACTGAAAAATAGAAGTGACGTAGAGCCTTCGTTTTTTGGCCCCCTTTCTGAACTTTAAATCTTTGAAGTGACTTTATTCTTTAATGCTGTTGTCATTAATTCTCTTTAATTCTTTGGCTTTTTCTTTTACATATTCCCCTTTTATTAAAGAATAGTAATCATGTCTGAGAGCTTATTTTTAGAACAATACACGCCCTTTCCTAGAGAAATTACTGTTGATATTGACTCTTGGAAAAATACCATTGAAAATTCACCTGCTTGTCATGTGGTATGTTGGATTTATAAGGAAAAGACGAATGGTGATATGTCTACTTTAATCGAAGAAGGCCAAACTATGCCAAAGTGCGTAACAAGAAGAAGCATTATTTGGAGATGAAGTACATATGTTATAGAGTTGGGACCTATAAGAGTCGTGTTGGTGTACAGACAGAAGATGAATCATCGAAAAGCCGGCCAATTCAGAAACCAAGCAAGAAGATCGATTGCAGATGCTATGTTACTGTCACCTGTTATTTTCTAGAACCTAATGTAATATTCGTTAAAGATAAAGTATTAAGTCGTAAAGGTCAATGGGACAAAAGAATTGTCTGTTTAAGTAAATGTCCTATTGACTTATATATGGTTATTGATACGTAGGGGCCTTACTTTTCTACACTTTGTGGGGTTTTTTATTTAATGTTAAAGTGTTATCCTTGCAGCTATGCCTCAGTGAGGCTTCTAGACTATTTATATAAGTGAGTTTCTAAACTGATATATGCTATGTATACTTTGTATCTAGTGTGTAAATACCACACCTGATCAGGTCACTATTAAGCTTCATAATGAGCATAATTATCTTATTGGAAGCCTTGATGATATCTCTTTTTTGCCTTTATCGGATAATACGAAGGAAGCCATATTACAAAAGTTACGTGAAGGCTATGGTAGAAGAGACATAAGAGCTGCAATTCAGCGTCAGCTAGTCCAAGCTTTAAAGTCCAGAAAAGGGGTGTTGTACCGCAGTCCCAAAAGGGATATAAACTAAAATTCATTATTTGTAAAAAGGGGTAAAAGCCCTATTATTCATTCCTTTTTTTCACTATTGTATATTTTTGTATTTTACTTCAATTTATTTACACGCACAAAGAACGTAAGTATCAAGATGTTATAATCTAGATAATACATCATTAGTATTACTAACTGATTGAATAATATTGCGAGTAATATAGCACATAATGCTACCAACTCAGCGTTGAGTAGGCAGCCAACCTAGTCGACTAATACAGAGTTTCTTCCATTTATTGCAGACTTTTACAGGTATAGTATTGCCTAGCTGTTGTTTTCGCAAGCGTTACCAATTAACAGACTACCAACTAGAAAAATTGCTACAATGTCTTAACCACTTTCGATGATCTTTCTTTTGAAGTTATTTCCTCCTTTGAATCTGCGGAACATAATTCCCACAGTTTGACGCTTTTCAGCTCCATGCTGCTAAAGACCGTGATTAATTTTATTTTGATACCTTTTGAATTCAAAAGTTGGACGATTTTACCGATTGCTCGACATGGTATAGGTATGGCAAGTTTTTGCGACGATAAACGCATAGGGTGAATCCGTAATATATGTATTAGCTGTGCGCACAGTTTATGCGTCACTTTCCGGTGAAAAACCATGCATGCTTCATTGAGCAGACGTGCTGCTGTTGGTTTGCCAATTCCAGATTTTTTTAAATATGATTGAATACGACTATACCACAAATCAGGCAACATGGCTTTGTTGAACATTATGCTTGTAATCAATATCAAACATTGGTAATCAATTTATTAGAATATAACAAAACCAATGTACCCGCAACAATTTTATGACTGCTATGGCAGTGAAAGTCGGGTTGATTCCGTCGGTTTGTCAGAGATACAGATAACCTCAGATCTTTTGCCATCTGGATGTTCATTGTTCGTAGTAGTATACATCTCTCCATTAATATTTCCATCTTTTTTGAATAGTTTTAGTTTAATATTTGATATTTGAACTGTTTATTAGTTAGGTAATATATCTGTCAAAGAGCTTACTATTGTGTGTTTGATGTCGTCGTGATTAAGGAGTAGTTTGCTTGCTCCATCGGATCCTTGTCTGCATTGCAAACAAATGGTGATTGCATTTTCAATGTTATCTAACAGTGACGATAGTATACCAAATATATAAGGTTGCAAATCAATGAAATGAATTCACTTTAGTATTAGTTTAAAACTGTACCTGTCATAGTAAAACCTTACTGTTGTTTAGTGTACCGAAGTTGCACTGGTTGCTCTGGTGTAGAGTTTTCGTGTACAAAATACAACATATCTCTTCTTTCTGGGTCCACAGCGACGCATCGACCAGAAATCTCTTGATGATTTCGACGAGTTAGATTGGTGATGTAGGAGGTAGCTTCATACTCCATTGTGAACCTTGCCGTGTATCTTGTTTGCCTGTCGAACCTCTTCTTGAGAACCGTGACACCAACGCCATCAGTTTGAATAGTGCTACGGGATCTAAGTTGTCCGCCTTCTTGCGGCTTGAGGGCTTTTGAATCAAGGTTGATAACTCGGCGCCAGTAGTCCAGTTTATCGACAGCATTAGACTATCGAATTCCCAGGATGTTTTGGCAGAGAATCTTGCTGTCGAGATCTTACTGATATAGGTCAGAAGACGGCGTGGGATGGATGGGCAGGCAATGGAAGCCACAATATCACGAATAAAGTAACTGTCTTTGTATTGAACTATCTGTTTAAAGTGGAAATGTTCGTCTAGTTTAGTGGAGAAATTAGTATGTGCACACTGCAGCGTTGATAAGAGACTTATCTTACCATAAAATCTAGCACAAAAAACTCGTTTTTGCTTTGATTCAGGGATATTATCGAATAGCTGGAGCATGTTTTCATAGAACTTTTCGATATCGTTAAGCTCTTTCGTTCCTGATACCTTCTTCAGGCCACCTGAGAGCTCCACCAGAGCAGTTGTGATTAAATGGTCATCAATAAGGAACAACACACCGTGCCACTTTCTCTTTTCGGTTAAGCAATATTCGTTCTCCATCCAGTCAAACTCAGCGATGTCATTGTAAGGCAAAAAGAGCTGACTAACAAGTAGCAAGTGACAGAATCTTTTCAGAACGTAAAGTCGCATTTTTTTAGTTTTTATAATACAATTTGTATGAAAAAGCGACAAGTCAGTGCGATATTTCTTTCTGAAAATGATGTACACTGCCGAGGACCTTTCCGGTTGCTTGAAGAGCATATAATTGCGAGGGCTTTCTATCAGGTCAAGATTAAAAAAGGATATTAGCAAATCGTCAATGTATTTCAGAAAACTCTTGAGCTTACAAGTAGCGAATGGTGACTTCCAGGGAAGATACGTTAGCATGAAGCACAACATCCAAGTCATCGGGAGCATCGCGTCGTTTTAATTTTTCTTCTCAACTCTCTTGTAGATGGCTGTACGACAGAAAGCTGCTCTTGTAGCTTTTTTTTTTTTTTTTTCCAATGTTGTTGAGCTTGTTTCTTCAAGGTGAAGTAGGACTTGAATAGTTCTTAGTTCTTCTAAATTAAGCCATTCATTCATAAACCCATAAACAGAAGTTTGCGACATACCGACAATATACATTTCTCCCACTTTGATAAACAGCACAAAAAAGTTGTTAGTGATAGTTACTTTAGAATGGTGTATTCGTATTACTTACTGGTCAGAACAACGCACACTCAACACTTTTAACACTTCTTCCAATGCTAGTTAACTATTGGAGGTACGGTTGCTACTGCTATTCTGATTATGGGGACTGGGAACAGATTGGGTGCTCAACCTCCGTCTTTGATAATACCTCATACTAACCCCACAGCGTTGGTTCACAGCAGTCATATTGATTTGTGATATGTTTCGAATATAGGAAGAAGTGATAAGGGAAGTGTAAGTTGACGAGTCTCTACACAATCTCTTTGTTATAAATGCGAAGAAAGAAAGGAAGCTTACTATTGCAATATTGTCATTTTATATGCAAACAAGACTATTACGTGACCAGTTAGAATTGAGCATGACGCATCATGTAAGTATAACATGTATTGTTGTCGATGTCTTCGTATTATTTGTTCTTAGAGTACAGGCTTGTAGTAAGCTCACACGACAAAATTAAGTATTTATAGGGTAAATACGACATTGATATAATACATAAAATGGTTGATAGCACTTATACTCCTTATTTTTAAAGATCAGCTCCTTTTCGCCATGAATTCCTCTCTTTTCTCTACTCATAACACAATTACAGAGGCTTTTTCCACCTTGTCGCATTCTTATATTTCTAAGTTAAAACTCGCTCATAACGGTTTGAAATCCAAACGAATTTTACTAACCCACATTTGTTTGATGGTGTACATTATCTACGATGATGTTATGAAATCAATGGCACTAGCAGAGTTTGGCAGTGCAAGATAGAGTGATGACAAGGTCGAAAGTGACACCTTAAAGGCCTACCAGAATGCTCTGAGGGTAGCCTGCAAAATTGCAGCAAAAACAGGGGAAACATTGTCCCTACTGGGCAATTATACATGTGTACGTACCGGGCACGTCAAGATACAGTGCCTCAAAAACGTCGGAAGAGTTAAAGCTGGTTTTTTCCACAATTGATAAAGACTATTTCTTGGCGTGGCGCTTTGGTCGAAAATTGTCTATATACATATTGATATCTCTGACGACTCATCACCAGATTATGTCTATGAGGCCATTTCAGACTTTAGCACATCTCAATGTAAGATATCTTGACTTACTATTACGGCTTATTGTGCTTAAATATCGTGTTTCTCCAATGCAATGCCATTGTAGTAATTTTCATTGCTTGTTTAAAGCACTACCAAATATTATTGAGATCAAAAAGCACTGTAAAGGATGAAAGTTCGTCGTCTTCGTCTTTCAAGTATCCAACACTTCATTCATTCTCTTTCCGCTGGTATATTCTAAGACTGAGAGGCGGCGGACTTTTTCAAGAAACTCCAACAATTGTTGGAGGTTTTTCCGATTCTTCTCGATCATTGACAAACATGTGACCTTGAAAGATCTTAACCTCTGTTTTTTCAGCTACTTGAAGCCGTCATGGATCTTTACATTTGTAATTAACAATAACATGAACGTCCAGATTGAATTTATTTGAGATCAGCAACGAGGATTTTGTTGATCGCTTCATATCTTGTCCAGTTGCTATTCCTCAATCTCAAGAGATGTACTGAGTTTAAAAAGCTTCACTATTTGCTCTTGGATAAGGTCAATGTCATTTATGAAATCTTATTAGCATAACACATGACCTTAGAAAGGACTAAGGACATATTACTGAAAATAAAGCGTGGTTTGGAAAGCCTATGACCCATATCCGAAGTTAAATCGGAATCAACTATGAGTTAAGTATTGCCTCTCGATCAAATGAGCCAGAATTCAAAATATGATGAGTGCATACGAATTTCGGCGCCTTCGACAGCGCCTCTACGGGGGAGGGGCTGTCAGTGTTACTCCCACCAAAGATCAGACCGGCTGCTCTCCGAAAGAGCCCACCAGTGCCACAACCCAAAAAAAGTCTATTTATGATTTTACATTCATTAGGTTGTACTAATTGAGTCATATGAGGTTTTGTCCCGACCTGTGATGAGTCAAATAAAAAAAACGGAAGTTAAAAAACGTGGCTCGTGCAGCTGGAAACTTATATAAAGCTGCTCATTATTGTCGTTTCATTCTCCCACATATATTTTTTTATTACAACAAGCGCAATGTTCAGAGCAAACGACGACAATAAGCCCTTTAAAGTACTGATCGTTGGTGGCGGCCTTGCAGGCCTCGTTTTAGCCAATGGTTTAAAAAACAAGGGTATCTCCTGTGAAGTGTATGAACGCGACGTCGATCCGGATTTTCGTACTCAAGGATGGTCTCTCTCGATGCATATGGCTCTTCAAACTCTTCATGATTGCATTCCCAAACATCGATTTGAGTATTTTGGCAGAGAAGTTGGGGTTAATCACGAAAAGAATGAAGGAGGAATGACCTTTACAAACTTTAATGGCCTGACCGGTGAGATCGAGACAACACTTACAGCTCCTCCTTATAAAGTCTATCGTGTAAATCGAAAACGTTTTAGAAAATGGCTTTTGCAAGATGTGCAAGATTTGGTGCACTGGAATAAGAAAGTAAGTCGTTATGAAGAGCATGCAGATGGTGTAAAAGTCTTTTTCGCGGATGGAACACACGCCGAAGGTGATCTACTCGTGGCTACAGATGGTAGCATGTCAACTGTGGCTCGTCAATTACTTGGTGAAGAAAAGTTTCAAAGTATGACTCGTATTCATGGTGTACGTGGTTATGGCTGTAGTCGTTGGATATCAGAAGAAGAATGGAATGCTCTTGCACCAGAAGGCACCGTGTCTGGAATCATACATGGACGTATGCCTGCAGATGCTCCGGATGATGGATTCTCCAAGCCAGCTCTCATCTTTTACTGTTTAAACAAGGTTGATCGTAGCCGAGGTAACACGCCATACGATGTTCTTTGGTTCCTTAGTAGATATACCGAGAACCCATCTCCTCCTATGCCAGATGGATCGAACAATACTGAAATCATGAAGAAACTCAAATCCTGCGCCACTAATGCATTCCCTGGTGTAACTGCACATCAACAATTCATTGTAAACACACCTGATGATACTCCACTTGTCGGTATCACCATACGCGAACGAGTACCTGTCTATGATGTATATATGGCCAATACCCAACGTGTCGTGTTGGCAGGCGATGCTGCTGATCCCATGTCCATGTTCCGAGGAGAAGGCGGTAATCACGCTATTTTAGATGTCGGTGTCTTGGTCAATGAAATCAATAATGTCGTATCCAACTCAAAATCGCTGAAAGAAGCCATCTCCGATTACTACAAAGAAATCATTCCCCGTGTTGAGCAAGCAGTAGAGGCATCCTCTAGAGCAGCTACAATAATGCATACTAATCCTGAAGGTATTCGTCAAATGATGGAAGAAAGAGCTGCTCTCGTAAGAAAGGCACTAGAAGAAGAAGAAGCTCGTGCATGAAACATACAAGCATAACACTGTAAATTTTATATAATCATTTAAATCTAAATAAACATGAACTCTTAAATCATCTCTTTTTCATCTTTTACCTTTTCACACTCTTATTGTACCCCTATATATACATATCCTTTAGAACATGTGTATAACTTTCTTCTTCTTAAGTAAGCTCTATATATTATCAAAGTTAGAAAGTAGAGATTTCGAAGGTTGTCAGATATACGATTGCATCATGGTGTAAGTTAAATTCGACTTTTATTTAGTTGTCATCATTTCTTGAAACAAAAAAGTTGACCGAAACTAACTCAAGGCCGTTTTGCTGAATAAACGACTTGTAATCGAAACAGCTGGCGTCTTGAGATAAAGCATTAAAGTTTGAGTTAGTAGACGGTTGCTTGTAAAGCAAGAAGATGTAGCGATGATCGCCAGTCTTTGGTGGTGGAGCAGGGCCCATGTAAGATGTCAACTGATTTGCAGCCATAAAATCAGCAGAGCCTGTATGACTACGTGTTTATACATTTGTCATCAGAATACATATATACAAACGAATACCTGGAATGTTCACTACAACCCAGTGACGATAAGGTCCCCATTTGGGATCTTGCTTTGATGGAGCATCAGGATCAATCTATGGAAAAGAGAAAATAAGACACACACGATCGCTGACAAACCCTCAGGTAACTATTACCAATAAAAGAGTATATTGAGCGTCTGAATCAGGAGCAACAAAACTGATGTTTGGCGTTTCAGCAGAATCAGAAGGCTTGATGAAGTTTCCTAAAGCTACGTCCTCTCCTTTTGGATATTTGATACTCAATAAGGTCGAAGGAGAAAATCCTTCAGGGACAACTAGAATGGCATAGAACAGTAGTTAGGCAACTTGTCACGTTGTTAAAATACTCACTTACTATTTGGCGATATCTCTGCTTTCTTCAGAGCATTTGCAATGTTCATATCAGCTGTTATAAGAACCATCTTTATCTATGTTTATAAAAAAGGGTAAAAGAAAGAAAAAGAGAAAAGGAAACTTTATGACATACAGTTTATATCATATTCAGCATGTTTGTAGCACTGTGACGTCGTTGATTTTGTACGTCTTAGTTTTATCACAGCCTTCTAACTCATGCTCAGCATTTATGCTAAATGTGAGACTGAGATTGTAAAACGTCCCTTTAGAAGTGGTTATTATGTACTTTTAGAACAAAGGTAAAAAAGACAAGTCGATGAGGCTCTTGAACTTGTTTACAAAAGAAAAACAAGACACAATATTAAAGCAAAGTAAGACTGGGTAATATGAAGAATGGATTGGCTGTAATAACTATAAAGCAATCTCACATAAAGTTTAATAGGAAAGGATAAATACGACAAGTATTTTCAGCAAGAAGTGATACATATAGATAGGCGAATGTAAGTTATCAAGCACTTCAGATAGGAGAAGAAGCTTGATAAATAAAAGACTTGCGTCTTCTTAGGAGCCATACGTCAAAACACTGTTTCCGGATAGCACGCTTAAGAACTCTAATTCTGAGACGTTTACTGAAGGGTATCTCCTCATTTATGCAGCGAAAGAAAAAAGAATGGTTAATACAACCTTGATATCTTTTGAAGCATTCTTTGAGCAAACTGAACTATTCGATCAGTGTGTGTGTGTGTGTGTGTGCCTTTTTTCGGATAGCTGATGTCGCATAATGTCACTATTAAGCCTTGACCAAAACTCTTTAGTCGGACAGAGTTATTTCATCCACTACTGTTCTTCTCCGTTATTTCAGAAACACTAGCATCAATAGCTTCAGAGCTCTATTTTCTATTGCACCAATTCTTCTTCAATATTGTGTATTTCAGAAACAAGCTCTTTCAGGGAGATAAAATCAGAGATTGAAAGCAAAACTACAGCACAAGGTTTGCTTAAACCACACAGATTTGTGATTGGTCTAGTTTGGGGTTTTTTTTTCCGTCCTGTTTTACATTTTCACATGTATAAAAAAACCTCAATCTCACAGGGTTTTTTTTTCCTTTTTCTTCTTCAGCCCTCACATTTTAAATAGCTGGCGCTCTATTCACGCACGATCGTTTGATAATGATCACTCTCCTCCTAACCTCAACGCTTTTTCTTTGACGATCTTCTCGTTAACGTGTGAGATACTTTTCAGTACTGTCGCACGGACAAAGAGTAGGGTTTTTATGGGGTGTTTTCAGCGAACTTATCGCGAACAATACTTCTAGTGTCGAATAGAGCACTTCCAAGAGACCTGGTTGCACCTCTGCTATTCATTATGTGGTAGACTCTCCATATGAGGCTGGTAAGCTGACCTCAACGGCCGCTATAGGTGTAGAGTATGGCCTCACCATAGGCAGTACAGCAATCGCGTTCTATGCTTGGCGAGACTACGTTGGTCTAAGGTTACTGACTCTATTGGGTTCAAGGGTCTATTCGAGGCTTTTTTTCCCTCCACGATGCTAGAACAGGTCTTCGTCCTGTGGAGGATGGATCCAAGCTATTTTAGCTAGCTTTGGTGAACGAAGATTCTAGCTTTTCTTTATGAACTATTTAGACGAAAAAAGTAAATCAACAGCTTATGTCTTTCCTTTTTCAGGCAAAGATCGCAGCCACACTACAAGATATATTGTGCGCAGCATATCCTGCGCTTTTCTTTTGAGTTATCCTTTACTTGACAGTTGATCGTTCTTGTGTATACTTTATCTCAATATGCCAGGCTTCAATGAGATACCTAGTGAAATTTTACAGCAGATTTTTGCATATGTTCAGACAAGCGCCAAGTACAAGAAAAGTTGGATGGTGCAATATCAGCTTGTCTGTAAGAGATGGAGCCAAGTTGCAAAAACGTGCCTGTATAGCCTCGTAGATTTATGCAACGATGAGACCATGGAAAGATTTTTACACTGTATGAAAAACAGCAGCGCAGGGCACCTTACTCGAACCATATGCCTTAGCACAAGATACCGAAAATATGAAACAGTAGAGCTTTACATCAATGAACTTGCTGAAGCCTGTCCAAACGTAGAACGCGTTAAGGGTTTGATTAGTAACTATGGTTCTTGGCGTACTATTGCCACTGCCGCATCAAAGCACTGGCATCATATAAAGGAATTTACTAACCCTTTTGACTTAACTGAACACCGCAATTACTTTGATTGTTACAACATGCTTGTTTCGTTTTTTCGTCATTCGCTCACTCATGTCTCTTTACCACCAGAGCATCCTTCTACTCCAATAATGAAAGAACTCTGTCAGCGATTACCAGAGTTTAGCAACTTAACACACTTGATTATCGACAAGGTGGAACCCTATTGGTCACTTATAGACTATGATGAGATAATCCAGCTTTGCCCTAACTTGACATCTTTAATCGTAAACTCAAGGACGCCTTATTCGGATGTGGGGAGCAGAATACCTACCACTCTTGAAATATTGTCTACACAACCACATAGAAATATCAAAACTTTACGCATGCGTTATACCAATAATCTAGGCATTGTTGAATACATCATGCACAAGTTTCCCAATCTTCAGAATCTGGAGTTGTTATCTTGCATCTATCCCCGTTTTGAATATCAATTGGAGGGCTATTTCGATAATATCGGCGATATGTTTATGGAATATCTAAACTCAATGCAAACATATGAAATTAATGCAATGGGGTCATTTTCTTTGCTTGGAGCGTATTTAAAGCACACACCTAACGTACACATTCGTTTTTACACTGCGCTGGCTCGCTTTCCAGAGCTTTACTTGAAACAGACAAGTATAGAAAGAACGTCATGTATAGGCTTTGTTGACAATCCGGAGTATAAGGAAAGGTTCTTACAGATACTCAAGAGATACCAACATAATGTTACAACGTTTACCTTGAATCTCGAACGAGGCCCTAGCGACAGTACCGCATGGATTGAAGATATTCTCACTACCTGTACGCAAATGAAGACGTTCCACTACTGGGCATTTGAGTCTTTCCAGCCGCCATCACAAGCTGCAATAGATGCAAATGTGCCTTTGAATTCTACACTAGATACTCTTACACTGAGAGTGCGTGCCGTAGAAAGTGGGTCACTTGCTGGTTACTTGCGTCTCTTGCCATCAGTACGTCATGTAAACATTA